TCTCATCATCAAAACTTTTCTTAATCTAACCATCTCATAATCCCAACTTAACAACCTTCTCTTATGACAACTTGGAACCCAATTTAAGTCTTAGCAAACCCTCTCTCATCATCAAAACTTTTCTTAATCTAAACATCTCATAATCCGGAGATTAACAAGCTTCTCTCATGCATAACTTGTAACCCTATTTAAATGTTGGGTAGATATGATGATATAATATGTACAAAACAAACTACTATGTATTAATGATTATGATAATTTCCAATAATTCCAAGTAAGCTTAGTTATATGCATAATACTCTTTCTCTAGATTCTTAAACACATAAAACAGAAATTTATTACAATTGAAGAACTATAAAACTATTTTAAATCAGTATTTTCTAATGATTAAATTATAGTTCTGCACCAACAACTCAAATATGAAAAGTCACTGATTTTGAAATCAATTCCAAATATTGTACTGTTTGAGATTAAATGTAGCATGCTATCCAATCACAAAGATTGGATATCCAAGAATTCGGCAAACAAACATCAAATAAAATGTGCGGGATTTACTGTTCTTTAGATTATTAGAGCCCGGCATAATCTAATAATGGAATTGAGCCAAACACCCGCCGGGTTTAGTACATTTAGACCTAAAAAATATATTTCAAAAACATTGTCCTTTCAGTTCTGAACGGACAATTTAATATTCGGAGAAATTATTTTATACATCCCACAAAAAATGTAAAAAATTTTATGTAAGACCTGATTGGAACAGACATGTTAAATACAAAAAATTCAATAAGTTATGGCAAAATAACCGACTAAACATTTTTTAAAACTTTAATGTCTTGAATTGCCTAAACCAGCGCTTAGGATCCATTTAATTTTGATGGGTATCCGGATCCAAGTCCTGGATCCGCACTGGAAAAAAATGGTTTCGTATCCAAAAGATTTACTGATTTTTTTAAAACAAAAGAAGAGTTTTCATATTATTTGTCTTCTTTTTTTCGATGATGCTTTTGATGAATTATTCATAGATATCGAAATTTCTAATAATCTTTTTTTTCAACAGTTGGGTTTTGAGAGTAAAATATTTTTGTAGATATTTTTGCGGATCAGGATCCAGGAAGCCGAAATGTTGCCCTAAGCACTGCCAGTGCCTAGAACTAAATGACCTGAATTTTAGATTTTTTTTACTTATATCTCCGATAATATTTAATGGACGACTTAAGAAATTTGTTTGATTTATTTAGATTTTAACATATATCCATGACATTTAAATGCAGGCATGGTTATATTAAGTGATTGTTGAACAAGTTTCATTTATTAAAACTAATCCTCTTCTTATTTTTAATAAATTTCAAAGGAATTGAGTTTTTGCCACAAACTCAGATTTTCCAATCCCTGTATCTTTTCAATCCAATGTCAGTGACCTTTGATATTTCAAACTATGAATTCTGTTAGATCAAATAATATAAGTTTGAAATCTCCAAGGTTTAAACCATCCGGATACAGAGATATAGGAGTTAGAACATTTAAGTTTGTGGAAAAAACTCAGTTCCTTTTTCATAATTTTTAGAATTATTATTTTTCATCTTTGCAAAGCTCAGTTCTCAAGAATAGGTAGAATAGAATAAAAATGAAATGCAAAACACGTCAAGCTAAAGTAAAATGCACATAAGATTGTAATTTTATATGTTTTTATCATAACTCCATTAATTAAAGAGCTATTGAGAAGATCAAAAATGTTTTGATTTCATAATATATAACCAAATAAATTGTCTTCTCTTCACATGTGTATAAAATAAGAATCAGAGGAGCAACTGAGTCACAAAGTTGTAACAGTAATGACAAATGAATTTGACCTTATCCTCCTGGTTAGTTTGCAGTGAATACCAATTATTATAATAAGTTAATATGTTGATACCATGGAAACAAGAATACAGTGGATTGCTAGTTGTCTTTTTTATTTTGAAATATGATTAAGGAATTTGTAAATTGCAACTGATTTATTTCTAAAAATCCGTTAAAATTTTCCTTATGAAAAGAAAGAACAAAACGACAAACACAATTCCACATTTTAGAAATTTTAGAATTTTGAACTGCGTTGTGAAAAAATCATGTTCTTTTCAACATTTGAACCTGATTTTGTCCTGTAAATTTTCCGTTTTTACAATCTTCAGCCCCCTAATCGGAAGAAGACATGGTCCACGCAATGCAGCAAGTTATTTGACAAGAAAACTTGGAAATCCTTCAATTATGGTTTTATTTCTCCGCAGGGAGAATAATATTCATAATAACAACTGTTTTAATATATTATTATTCAATATTTGGTTATATTTCAATCTAATGAATAAGAATATTAAACATTTGTCCCAAAAGTAGATCAAGGGGAAAAAAATCAAATTTCTGGATAAAAATTTTAAAATATTTATTGATAAATATACCAAAGGGAATCTAAAAAAAATCTAGTTATAACTTTTTAACTCGCTTTGGAAATACTGTTAAATGAATACTTTAAATACTTTTTAGTTTTAGTGTGTTCACTGTTCTGCAGTGTTTAGTGCATCGTGTATATTTTTGGTGATGTTACTGTCTATTGTGACGGATGTCTATACTTTTCATATTGTATAATGTTAAAGTATCTTTACTGTCAAATGTTTATACTGTCCAGTTTTTACAATTTCTAGTGACTATACTGTCTAGTATATTCACTGTCTATGTATCTAGTATCATTACTGTCTATGTGTCAAGTATCATTACTGTCTATGTATCTAGTATTATTACTGTCTATGTGTCTATTATCTTTACTGTCTATGTTTCTAGTATCATTACTGTCTATGTATCCAGTATCATTACTGTCTATGTATCTAGTATTATTACTGTCTATGTGTCTAGTTTCTTTACTGTCTATTTATCTAGTATCATTATTGTCTATGTGTCTAGTATCATTATTGTCTATGTATCCAGTATCATTACTTTCTATGTGTCTAAAATCATTATTGTCTCACGTCTATTATCATTACTGTCTACTCTATGTGTCTACCATCATTACTGTCTATGTGTCTAGAATCATTATTGTCTAATGTCCAGTATTGTCACTGTCTATGTGTTTAGAATCATTACTGTCAATATGTCTAGGATTATTACTGTCTATGTGTCTAGAATCATTCTGTCTAACTGTCTACTCTATGTATCTAGTATCATTACTGTCTATGTATGTAGAATCATTATTGTCTAATGTCCAGTATTATTATTTTCTATATGTCTACCGTATTTAGAGTCTATGTGTCTACCCTCATTACTGTCTATATGTCTTGTATTGTCACGGTCTGTGTCTAGAATCATTAATGTAAAATGTCTAGTATAATTACCGTCTATTTGTCTAGAATCATTACTGTCTAACGTCTAGAATCATTACTATCTATGTGTCTTGAATCATTACTGTCTATATGTCTAGTATTATTACTGTCTATGTGTATGGAATCATTAATGTCTATATGTCTAGTATTATTGCTGTTTATGTGTCTAGAATCCTTACTGTCAAACGTCTAGAATCATTACTGTCTATGTGTCTAGAATCATTACTGTCTATATGTAAAGTATTCTTACTGTCTATGTGTATGGAATCATTACTGTCTATATGTCTAGTATTTTTACTGTCTAGTTTTTATTAGTATATAGAGTTCATGTAGCTTAACTAACTAACCAACTACCATGAACTTTCATCTTATTTTCCAAGAGTTAGTTAGCTGTTGCATATTTAAAATAAGAATTCATCAATTAACAAATATTTTGAAAGCAATTAATTTTCTCTGCAAATATCAAACAAAGGGAAATATTTGATACAAATTTTATCAAAAGAATTTGTTTGCAACACAGCCAAGCTAAAATTATCTCTTTCAGAAGAAGAGACGCACAATTGGTGATATTTAACTTTAAACATTAATTATAAACACAATGGAACTTAACACTCGCCTCAGACTTAAATTTTCTAATCTCTGTATTTGTTGGGTAACCTGATGGTGTAAACCTATGATATTTCAACTTAGAATATCGAATGGAACAGAATTAAATGATTGAAATATTAAAGGTTTATTAAATGAGGTTGTAAAGATGTAAGGATTTGAAAACTAGGGTTGGTGCTAGTGTTGTTCAGTTCCTTAATATAATTATGAATTTTTAAAATCCTGGGTTAGAAACGTTAACTCAACAATAACACACTCTACCATATACTTCCTTTTGAAAACATTAACTATTNACTAACCATCGTGAATTCCGAACTGGTTTTTCTTACTTCCTTTGACTGTTGATAAAAATTGGGAAATGGCTGCAATAATTTTCTTTATTGAGACACAATTATTTACTTCTTTTTATTTTTAGAACAGAAATAGAAAATGTAGTTCAAGAGAAATTGTCTTGAATACTCCGGAAACAAATTTTATTTGAAAAATTATTAAATTAACTCGAACATTTTTCATGATTTAAGATCTTTGAATTTTTCTTTCAGGATAAGAATGCATTCTGCTTGATTTGATTTATATAAAAAAAAATGTAGAAGGATTGTTTCTAACACCATACAATAAACATGTTCTGCATTATACTGCATTAAATATATATATATAGATTATTGATAGTTTAACATTAGAATCAACAAAGGATGAGACAAGAAATTGACAATTATTGAATAATTATGTTAATAAATCTGGTTCTTTATAGATACTAAACAGATTCGAGAATTGTTTTTCAGAGATTAATCTTGGATCAATGTTTTTCTTTAAATATATATATATATACAGATAATTTATTAACGATGATAGTCTGAGCATCCATTTGATGATTGAGCGAGGAAAACCAGGCCTCGCGGCCTCACACCAGCCTCCAACATCGATTTACCCAACCAACCTTAGTGGCCTCGTCCTCTCCCTGGCTGGACCAATCAGAGGTCGAGCTGTATGGTTCCAGCCAATCACAAGCAGGGTTGAAAGAGCTTTCTGGTCTGAGAATAGTCTCAGCTTTTCAGTTTCTTGAGGCTGGCAGGCTCATACTGAGGTTACAAGTGGAGTTTTAGAAAATATCATCAAACCCATTCATGGTTTACAAGTTTCCCTTCAAGGGGGTACATTTTAGATCCAGGACTTAATCAGGATATTCGGAGAGAATTGGAAACTATTTTTAGACTCAAACCTGGGTTATCTAGGATCTTCAAGGTGATCTGGCAGGTTCTTAGGCCGCTCTTCTCCTCCTTGCGGCCCAACCTTGCTCCGGAGAAGCAGGAGAAGATGGGAACCGTTCTCAGCTTCTCTCCTAGGTAACTCATATACCTGAGAATCTTTAAAACCCTGACCAGGGGTCAAACTTGGTTTCAAGATAAACCCTTTTATCAGCTGTTTATAAAAGTGTTGGTTGAAGAATACTTCTATACATATATTTTTTTAATCACGTTCCTTAGTTTCTTTACTGTCTATTTANTGATGTCTCAAGTTTCTAATCAGAGGGGTTCATTTATATTTAACGAGTATGAAGGGGGGGGGGGATTCACTAAAATTGACATTGAAACCATACCACGATTTCTCAAAATATATGTAATCTTACTCCAGACTTAGAAATTACCTTGTTAATCTCAATATTCTAGTGCCTTCATGTTTTTTTTCCAATAATTTTCCCATTTATTTATATTTTAACATCCCTCGTTCTCCATTTTCTCGTCCATTCTGCTACTGATTTAGTCATAAAATGTATAAATTATTCTTCTAACCATTTTAAATATCCCTGTTCTCGCCATTTAGTCCATGTTCATGCCATTGAGTCATTTTCTCGCCATATAACCCATTTCCTTCTACCATTTAAAGTATGTATTTTACCCCCAAGTTCTCACATTTTCTCATATAGTCTTCATTTCTCAATTATCCACTTTTCATAATTTTAGTCTTTCTGTATTTTCTTTGAAACATTAATTTGAAGCAAGGTAATAATTATTTGATTGGAAATATTCGAAAAATTAGAAAATGAATGCCATACATACATACACGCTGAACTGTCGTCAATAATTTTACTTTTGTAATCCCTTGTACAACGGTACTGTTATTCTTTGTTTCCCCTCCTGTTATATATGCTACCCCATACTCTTTTATTCCCCTGACCCTTGCTACCATGAATTCCCTCTCTCCCTCCCATAGACAGGTTTCTCTTTATATCCACAATCCACATTCTAACTCTCTCAATACTTACTCCTTTCATCCTTACTCTATCCATCCTTACTCTATCCATCCTTACTCTATCCATCCTTACTCTATCCATCCTTACTCTATGCATCCTTACTCTATCCATCCTCACTCTATCCATCCTTACTCTATCCATCCTTACTCTATCCATCTTTACTCCCTCCATCCTTACTCCCTCCACTCTTACTCTATTCAACCTTAGTCGCTCCATTTTTACTTCCTTCATCTTTATTCCCCTATACTCCCTCCATCATTGCTTCTTCCATCCTTACTCCCACCATATTTTTCTCCCTCCATACTTACTCCATCCCTCCTTACTCCCTTAATTATATATCACCTTGTTTTTAATCCTGAATGTTAAAATCTAATGCTTTTTTATAATCACTGTTGGTGCTAACTCTAACATTATTGAATGACTTTCCTTCCCATTTTTGTCTCGCCAAGCTACTGTTTGGACCAAAATGGTGGCTCGTCAAGCTAATCAAATACGTTTCTGTCAAGCTAGTTTCTCATCAAGCTATTGTCTTGTCAAACTGCCATGTCAAGCAATCATTTGGTTACTGTCTCGGAAAAAATGTAAATTTTTAATAAGAGACTGCAGTATCCAAAACACAACTAAATAATAAATCAATTAAACTATAATTTTATAAAGGATTTCATTATACCTCTACGGTCTACGCTGTAGATTTGGGTTTTCATTGATAAGAAAAATTAACTAGAACCTTTCTGATAGAAACTGCAAACTCAAAGTTTCCAACTATCTCTAAATCATGCATACAAAGGGAGATAAAGAACTGATGTGTTAGACTGCTGATTTTGATCAGAAAGTCAAAGTTTGAAATATCAAAGGTCTAACACATCAGGGTGTACAGATATAAGGACTGGAAAATTAATGTATTTGTTGATTGTTTTTAGACTTTCCATGACATAAACAAGTATCTATATAACTTAAGTTGTAATCTCTGTTAGTCTGTTTGTTTGTTTGTTTGTTTGTCCGATCATAACTCAAGAACCCATGGGCCGATTTGCCTCAAATTTTGATTGGGGAACTCGGGAGACCCACGGGAATGTTCTTAGTTTAGTTTTGAGATTCTAATTTGAGTGAATCGACTTTAATAGCGAAAATTTGGTTTCCCGGTAAAATCGTTCAAGTGCGGGTAAACGGTGGGAGTAACTTTTAGTAACCTGGGCAGCGCTGGGTTCCCAAGCTAGTATTTAATAATACAATAAATATTAAGTTTGTGGACTTTCACACTTAAAACTGTCAACATTAGCTAATTGTTATTGTTAATCAATGTAAAAGTTCAAATTGTGTTTTTCAGCTCATTTTTCACTCATTTGTTTTCGTAATTCCCAAGGAGGCAAAGGACAACCCGTTATTAATTATAAACTGATTTTATTTCTATCCGATATTTCTCAAGAAACCGTTTTATAAAACCGTACTGCCTGGCAGCACAGCCAGGACATTTTCTTTTTTAAAGAAAAGAAAAAGAAAAAAGATAAAAAAGATAAAAAAAGAAGAGGACAAAAAATTATGTTTTTGACATTTCTAATCTAAGAAACTAAGTTCTTTACACAAAATCTGATTATCAAACCTATATATATTTGCAACCCATTGTCATAGATCTTTCAAACTCTGATTAACAAACCTATATATATTTGCAACCCATTGTCATAGATCTTTGATATTTCAAACTATGGTTTATGTTAGATCAATTAATCCAACTTTGAAATATCATAGCTTAACATCATCATGTTGTAAAGATATAGGGATTAGAAAATTTGAGTTTGTGGCAAAAACTTTCTTTCCTGGTTTAATTTTGAATACAAATTACAATCAGTTCTAGGGTTTTCTTCATGATCATAATTTGGATTATATCCTTGTCTATATAGTCTACAAGTTCTATTCTTGTCTGTCTATAAAATATCCTTGTCTATATAGTCTACAAGTTCTATCCTTGTCTGTCTATAAAGTAACCTTGGCATTGATTGAAAATGTATCATCAGTGAAAGCCATGTTTTCTGTATGCGGGCGCTGAAAGAAGAAATACTTTATTTATTTAGACAAAACATTAGTGCACTGTAGAAACCAGAATACAGTGGAATTATTTACATCACTAAGAAATAATACTAAGGATTTTATAATCCATTTTTTATGTTAAATCATAACTCAGGAACCCCTTGACCGATTTGACTCCAATTTTGTTTGGGCATTCGGTATACCTTCTGTATAACAGAATATTTTTCTAGAGGCTCATCGGTAATTTTGTGTAAAATTTTATTTATTTGATCTTGGACTAGAGACCTATCTTATCTTTAAACAAATATGTTTTAATGATTCATTTATTTTTTAGAGAGAAGAACCCCCCTTACTCCCTGGACTACACCAACCCTATCAACAATATCAACTATGAAACAATCAATAACCTGAAGAATAAAGAACTTCTGATAAGTAACGAGAACGCACATCTTCTCGTTGAAAAGAATGCCCTAGAGAAGAATCTGAAGAAACACTCCTTGTTCATAAATGCGCTCAGCTGGAAAAAATTCAACGCTGGGAAAAAGAAATCAGATCATATTCCTATCAAATCAAAGGTTGGGAAAACATTCAATTATATTAATGAACATAAAACGTAGGATTCGAACAATTTTTTAAATTCATATTGCTGACAAAAATATGCCTCCAGAGGCCGAATTTAAATAATTTGAGCCCCGGCTTAAATCCGCCAAAACCCGGTTAAAATTGAGGGCCGGCTTAAATTTGATACAATTTTAAGTGGAACCAAGCATATTTAAACCGCGACTCCAATTCTTTAAATTTGGTCTCTGGAAAATCGTTTTTATTTTCAATGATAGGCGGTTTCTAAAAATTTACGCAAAATATGACTTTTTTAAAAACATTTTGTAAATTACGTAATTGTAATTACTAAAAACACGTTTTTTCTCATCTTTCACGCTAACTATGTAGAAGATCAAATTATATAGCAAGAATTATGGTACGAGTTTGTGACCTCCTAGCTAGAAATTCAAAACTTTTTTTTGTTCTACTCAAACCGCTTCTAAAAGAGGAGGTACGAGAGTGAAATTTCTTCAAAGCAATTGAGTCCTTGCCGGAAATTCAAATTTTTAATCCCAATATCTTTGAAAGCTGATGGCGTAAATCTTTTTTATTTCAAACTTAAATTTTCTCATCTAACAGAATTCACAGTTTGAAATATCTAAGGTCTACGACGTTTGGTAGCAAAGAAAGGAATTAGAAAATCAGAGTTTGTGGAGAAGTCTCAATTCCTTTCACGTGCTATTTAAGTTTTATAAAAAAGAATTTATTTTAAAACTTGTGACAACTTTTTCTCTCATAAAGGATACTAATTCTATTCATTAAATGCGAGAAAACTTCTCATTATCTCTCTACAGTCTCCATTTTATAATTCTATTCATTAAATACGAGAAAACTTCTCATTATCTCTCTACAGTCTCCATTTTATAATCATATTCATTAAATACGAGAAAACTTCTCATAATCTCTACAGTCTTCATTTTATAATTCTAGTTCATGTTTCAGGGTTTATCTTTCCGAGCTCCCCTGGACAATATTCATCCCTTGGTAGACAACAACAAGAATATTCAGGCAGCACTCTGCCATGGTTCAAGAACAACCAGTCTTTTAGAGGAGAGAAAATCATTGGATATAGCAACTAAACATACTAACAAATACAAGATTAGTCAGGTATTGGATATATAGCAACTAAACATACTAACAAATACAAGATTAGTCAGGTATTGGATATATATAGCAACTAAACATACTAACAAATACAAGATTAGTCAGGTATTGGATATATAACAACTAAACATACCAACAAATACAAGATTAGTCAGGTATTGGATATATATAGCAACTAAACATACCAACAAATACAAGATTAGTCAGGTATTGGATATATAGCAACTAAACATACTAACAAATACAAGATTAGTCAGGTATTGGATATATAGCAACTAAACATACCAACAAATACAAGATTAGTCAGGTATTGGATATATATAGCAACTAAACATAACAACAAATACAAGATTAGTCAGGTATTGGATTAGATGCATGTGGTATACTGCATGCTGGTATATTTAGAATTAGGATTGATATATTGAATAATCGTGTTCTAAGTTTATCAATCTTTACTGTAAGTTGGGAAACCATATTTCAAATATGATTATTTTGTCTATTGAACATGATACCTCTATTATTCTTCTATGACGATAGACGGTTTTCTTGGTAATGATATATAATTTGATAATATGAACACATGTATACACAAATCATGCCCATTCATGATTATAAATTAGAATCAACCTGAAGTGAGTTTTCAAAAACATGAAATTACTATTATTTAACAAGAGCCTTAACATATATTTTTTTCAGAAAAGTTAACGTTTAAAGTAAACATAATTTAAAACGAAAAGGCTTTCCTTAATGTTACCACCAGAATCAGAAACATTAACATTTTTAACGCCAAACTTTATAATGAACAATAAACATGAAGAAAAACCTGAATCTAGTTCTTGATCAAATTTAAACAATGAAAATGTTAGAAATTTAACCTTTTCGTGCAGTGTATGGCTTCAATGTTTGATTCCACGTGTTGTCACATGCTTCATCTCCATGTGCTTACAGCTAAAGGAAATTTATTCATTTATTCATTTTTTTTTTTTTTTTTAATTCAAAAAAAGAAATTCACGTTATCCCAATTTATTAATTTTACATAATATTTTTCTATTTTTTTAAGATTTAATTAGAAAATTCATACATACTTTATATTCTAAACCACTTCCAGTCTTTGTTATGTCGGGGTTATTTTCTATAAAACTTTTTAGGATTTGTTCTGAATATTTTACAAGAATAATATTTCCTTAAAACTGTGTGATGCAAACACAACACTTAAATTTTCACACACCAAAAGTTAAATTAGAAAAAAACATAGGGAAACAATCTTTTTTGAAATTAAAGTAAACTCATTTTAAGAGTAGTCTTAGAATTCTATAATACTACTTTACATAAACATTATACAGGCTGACTAAAAATAATACTTTAAACACTTTAAGGAACCATGCTGTCCTCGACTCAAACATTTTAGAGAAAGATTTGTTAGTTTTTATAACTAACTTTGCCTACGGTATTTCTAGAAAGCTAATCATATATATTATACAGCTATTGTCTAACATTCCATGTAGAAGAACGAAATTCTTCATTGAAGAATCATCTAGTCACTTAAACTTTATATCAAAATATTAATCTGAGTTTTATTTGATTAGGCGTCCCCAACTCCAGTTGCAGGAACAACAGCATCAACAACAATACCAACATCACCACCTGGAGACAGGAAACAGCACAACAACAATGTCAGGAAGGAGGAAACATTCCTGAGCAATAACAACAACACAACAACAAACAACAACAAGGTGGAACTACCCAGTCAAGTTAAATCCGGAACTAAGAAAACTGTAATCCAGGTACAACATTAGTGGGTGATGCGGAGTGGGGAAGGTAAAAGCAAAAATAAAGCTTTTTATTTTATTTTATCTTAAACTAGTTTAATAAATTTAAGGATGAAGTATGGACAAAACAACATCTTTAAATATATTCAGTTTCCCTAAACAAATATTAATAGACATTTTTCAAATCAATTAGCTTTTAATGATGTTGTAGGCGAGTACAAGTGAGCTGTTAAAGTGTTTGGGGAACTTTCTCTACAAGCGCTGCTACAGGCTCAGGGACTTCCAGCCCGGGGACTGCATCATGTGGCTGAGGACGGTTGATAGATCTCTTCTTCTCCAGGGTTGGCAGGTACACAACACAGATGGATATCCAGGATAGGCCAAGAGTAGGGAGTAAGAATGAATCAGCAGGTTGGATAAAAGATTAGGAAAATTCTATTCTAATATATACATGTAAGATAATTTTACAACAATTGGTTTATTGTTTGGTCAAAAATGTCCAACATTATGCATAAAAGTACAGAATACAAATTCTACATCTATACTCACTATTTCCAATGTTATCTTTATCAGGAAACACTTTCCATTTAAAGAGGCATAATACTTTTCAAACTTTTGTTTGAGCAATAAAGGTACGGTGTAAGATATCCTTGTGTTTTAAATTGTAAATTGAAATGGGTTCCTAAACCTGCCAAATAATAATCCAATAGAGAAAGCTAGGATATTTTCTCAATAATAGTAAGAGCTGGAAGGATTAGCAAAGATAAAAATAGAAATATTTCTCAGAATCTCGGAAAAATAATTATTTGATTGTTAATAAATTGTGTTTTCGTAACATTTTTGTAAAATAACAACAAAGATATTTTTTCCAACGGTTTTACTGATCTTTATTGTAATTTCTCTTTAGAAAACTTACAATTGTTTAAATTACTATTCTACGATATTTCTTTTAAAGTTTGCAATTTTTTTCGAAACCAAGGATCGGTTAAAAATATGAGCATTTAGTAATTGTCATTCATCATTGAAAAGTGAAGTTTAGATATACAATAAACCTATAGATAGACCAGAAATGTTTCTCTTCTTCAAAACCAACCGTTAAAGTAAGGATATAAATATATTTCTGAAGATAAATATGTTAAAGTATATCTAAATATGTATTTATATGGAAATATCCTTATTGTAAGAATAGAGGGAGAGAATTGTCAGTTTATAATTGAAAAGATAATGAGAAGGGACGGAGAAAAAATATTTAATCAAATATATTGATTATTTAGATAATAGATACTATAGATACTAGATAATAGAGCTAGAATACTGGATATACTACTTATATGGAGCTAAATTACTAAGTACTTGAATATGAAGCCATAATACTAGATACTAGATAATGCAGCTGGAATACTAGATATACCACATATGGAGCTAAATTACTAATTACTTGAATATGCAGCCATAATACTAGATAGATAGTTTGAATGGATAGCATAAAAATACAGACGAAATATCTAAAAATACAGACGAAATATCTAAAAATACCAACTAAAAATAATTCTTTTTAAATGTTTCTTTTTCAGGATATTGCCTTCATTAATCCTGCTAATGTCGTCTTTGTATACCTGCTGGTAAGTTTAACAACAGACATCTTCTACAATTGATTAAGTACTTTAAAAATTATAGAAACGAAGTGACAGGACTTAAGCTTTATTTGACAAATCGAAAAGTGAAAAAATCTAAATAAATATTTTTTTGACTTTGTTCAGTTTTTCTCAGTTTTATCATCGCTTTTGACAGCTGATACAATTTACAGACAAATTTTGTAGAAAAGTTTAATATTTCAGGTTTTAAAATATGTTATAAAGATGAATTTAGTTAAAATCTGTTATAAATAGTTATAAATATATTAGAACGTGGAAGCTGGCAAGGTTTATTGAACTGAAAAGTAATTGGATTTGGAATTTTTAAATTCTCTAAAAACAAATCCAAGTCGAGGAAAAGAATGAATTAATAACAATCAATAAAATAAACATATATGGGTTCGTAACTATTTAGTTCTATATGTATCTAGGTCAGGGATTGTTTATTCATAAACCTATCTAGGTTCGGGATTGTTTAATCATAAACGAATCTAGGTTCGGGATTGTTTAATAATAAACGTATCTAGGTTCGGGATTGTTTAATAATAAACCTATCTAGGTTCGGGATTGTTTATTCATAAATGTATCTAGGTTCAGGATTGTTTAATCATAAACGTATCTAGATTTGAGATTGTTTAATAATAAATGTATCTAGGTTAAGGATGGTTTAATCATAAACCTATTCATAAAAGTATCTAGGTTCGGGATGGTTTAATCATAAACGTATCTAGGTTCGGGATTGTTTAATCATAAACCTATCTAGGTTCGGGATTGTTTAATCATAAACCTATCTAGGTTCGGGATTGTTTAATCATAAACGTATCTAGGTTCGGAATTGTTTAATCATATACGTATCTAGGTTCGGGATTATTTAATGATAAATGTATCTAGGTTCGGGATGGTTTAATCATAAACGTATCTATGTTCGGGATTGTTTAATCATAAACAAATGTAGGTTGGAGGTTGTTTAATGATAAATGTATCTAGGTTCGGAGTTGTTAAATAATAAACGTTTTTAGGTTCAGGAAGGTTTAATTATAACCGTATCTAGGTTCGGTTCGGGATTATTTAATCAGAAATGTATCTAGGGATTATTAAGTTTACAAAATATCTAGGTTCGGGATTGTTTAATGAGTAATGTATCTAGGTTAAGGATTATTTAGTTTATAATATATCTAGGTTCGAGATTGTTTAATCATAAATGTAAATAGGTTAAGGATTGGTTCAAAATAAAAGTATCTGGCTCAGGTTTGTTTAACCATAAACGTACCTAGGTTCGGGATTGTGTTGATGAGAATATCACAAAGGAGTCTGAGCTTCAAGCTATTGTTCTGACCTGCCTCTACCTGTCCTACAGCTATATGGGGAATGAAATCAGGTTTGTCCCTTTTCCTCATAATCTGTGTTTGCAGGTTTTTGGGTTTCTATATATTCCTTGTATATTTTTTAACACTTTCAGTTTCTAAGATTTTTAAAAATAATTAATACTGTTATTATCTTAACTTGGGATAAAAAAAATTACTCCGAAATCCGTCCTTTTTTCTCATTGTTCTGATTATCTCCATTTATCCGGAACGCTATAATTAAACAGCAAGGGATATTAATTTACAAATTTGATTCTCAAGGGCAATAAAGTTTTTTAATTAAGGGTTTACAGTTACTTAAACGTTAAAGAAACTAATGAACAGGAAAAACATTTTAATTTGAATGACGGAAAAGAAGAAGAAACTGGAGAATAAGGAAATGAGGAAGATAATTCTATTATAAAACTTAAATAAAAAAGATATCTTTATTAGACCTTCAATTAAAAGTTATATTTCCCACAAAAAAAATTTTTAATTAATATTCACAAAAGGGCAAATGAACTTTTTATTATATTCTTACTCGGAAGGAATCAAATTAATGATCTCCACGTTTTGAAAATAGATTTTTTTGTTCACTTGTTATTTCTATTTAATGGTTATTTGTGGATTTCTACTAAAGAAACAATGGAGGAAATCGTCAGAATTAAACACTTGTCGAGCTAGAATTCCGTCGATAGCTTTCCAATAATTGATGGGATTTAAAAAGAAACAATTGTGCATACACCCCTTTACATGAATAGAGTATCCATGCAGTCCTTTCAGTACAACCGTTTATTTGTTTAGCNATAGTGCATACACCCCTTTACATGAATAGAGTATCCCTGCAGTCCTTTCCAATAATTGATGAGATTTAAAGGGTACCATAGTGCATACACCCCTTTACATGAATAGAGTATCCATGCAGTCCTTGCAGTACAAACGTTTATTTGTTTAGCTCTAATAGTCTAGTCTGGTTTCTACACATATTCATTAAAAACAAAACTTCTAAAAAATATTTACGTATCTTATGTTGATTTATATTTTATAAATCTTTGGATTTCTTTTAAAAAGAAAATATCAAAATCTGATCAATCTAGGTAGTAAAATGCAATCTAAAAGAAATTTTCAAATTTCGTTGAACGTCAAGTTTTTTATTCAATTTGACTATAGAAATTTAAGTTTAATTGACATCAGAAAATAAAATTTCTCGGTAACAAGAAAATACAAAATTTGACTAGATGCTTGCTTTCAACCTCGAAACAAAACTCGGTAACATGTTACGTTGCATTTAAATTAACCATGATACAAAAAAAAATATAAAAAGTGACAACCTTGCACTCCTTGTGTCCATAACAAACAAATTGTGATCCAGAGCCATGCTACTTTTAAAGAAATATTCTTCTGGTAGGTTTAGTTGTTCTTGCTCTTTACTCCTGAGTAAACAGTACTCTAATATCTGCTTATTCTAAGCAAATGTAGTGTTTATACGCCGTAAACCCCAACTACGTCTTTTCTTCTCTACAGATTGTTTTTTCACAGTCGCAATAAAAATATCAAAAAGAGGAGACACCATGTTTTATCTACATAGGTTTATTCACAAAGGTTGTAACTTCAGATTCAATCTTTCTTTCTTACATGTAAAGTTTTTTTTTATTTCTTACCCTATTTCTTTCTTTGCTTAATCATAAAGTTGTGACTATGAACTATTGCCGTGGCAAGAAACCTATTTACAGTTCATCTTGTTGTTCATCATTTGTACACGGGCAGCCGTAGTAAATTTGAATTTCCGAGCCGGGTCAACCTTTCCGGTCCCAATTTGTACTGTATCGGCCAGACATTGGGTAAGTAAAGCAGACACTCAATAGGACTAGCCGGTGCAGCAAGGTTGACGCGGTCAGAGTTTTAGTTAGGTCGTCATTAAAGTTTGATCTTTTGAAGGTAACCCTGCAAGCAAAACATTAATTTTTTTCTTCCGTGCTCTCAACATTAACTAGTTAACAGCTGGATTAAAAGTTTATGCATTTATCCTCTCCCCTGAGTTATGAATTAATTAGTTTTCTTTTAGTTATCCGCTGAAACCGTTCTTGGTAGAGACGGATAAAGAAAAGTTCTGGGATAGATGTGTCAATATTATAAATAAACTTAGGTAAATTTTTTATTTTGAAAACTATAAATCTACGTATGTTCAATGTACGTGCATATTTTTAACAATGTTATTTGGAAAATTTTTTTTAAATAGTACGCTAAAGAAACGCTAATTGGTTCCATTCCACTTCTATGCGGATCCCTATCCTGGAGTTATTTAGTAAAATGTTGGACCCAGATCCTGTATCCGTCCTGTAAAATCTTGGACACAGATCCTGGATCCGTCTTGTAAAATGTTAGACCCAGATCCTGGATCCGTCTTGTAAAAGCAAGAAATCGGATTTAACCCAAACATATTTACAAAAGTATCATTTCCGAACATTTCCCTTTTTCACAATTATTTCATGATTCAACTTCATCGACAAATGACACCAGTATTTAAAAAAATAAAAAAAACTTCTTTTATATTTTGATTTAAATTTTGCCACAAATATTGCGGATTCGGATCCGGATCCTAGAGTTTAAATTCACCTTGATTTCTAATAATGTCCTCGTCACTAAGTCGTTGACTCTCATAGAAAGTTTCAGATGAACCCTTGAAGGAGCACAATATGGTTTCTTTAACATTTTAAATTGGAGTATTCTTAACTTGAAAAATGAAAGGGGGGTATATAACGAACCGTGTCTCAATGTTCTATCAGAAAAAATCATGAAAACTAAAAAGAATCTTTCAGAAACATCGAAACTGAATAAGATAAAATCTTTTACTCCAATTGGCTTTTACGAGCGCTCAATACAAAACTTGCAGTGGCCGAATTTAAAGAATTTGAGCGGCGGTTTAAATTTAAGCCGCGGTTTAAATATGGTTGGTTCCACTTAAAATTGTATCAAATGTTTCAAGATTTAAACCGGCGCTTAATTTAAACCGGGGTTTGGCGGATTTAAACCGCGGCTCAAATTCTTTAAATTCCATCTCAGATAAGGGTTTAAAAGTAAACTATATTTTCTTGTTGGATGAAATTCTTAATATCAGGTTTTTAATTAAATTGTTTTGCAAAACTCTCGTCGTCTAGAGAACATCGCTTAACAATCCAAAATATAGTTTTAAACAAAAAGCAAGAAAATATTTAAAATTTATATTCTTTAATCTTTAGTTCTCCAATGCTGAGGATAAACTCTGAACCTAGTTTCTTCACTGAAATCTTCACTGAGCTGAAGGGAGTTGGTCAGCACATAGAGTTCAGAGCTTGAGGATTTAACATTGATCCCAGATTCACGACTCCGTCTTCCTCATATAATTAGAACTAGAACCAGAGTTTTCTCTTAAAATAGTCTTTAATTATCCCTCTTCCATCTCCAGGTCCTTTTCCGGTCCATCCTCCTTTTCATCCTTTCCATGGGTTTCTTTTTTCTCCTTAATTTTCTCTTCTTGAAATCCTTCCTCAATTTCATTCTTCTCATCTTTCTCATCTTCTATTTTCCTCATTTTTATTCTTCTCATCATCTTCATCCTTTCTCATCTTAGTCCTTCCTCCTCTTCCTTTCTCATCTTAGTCCTTCCTCATCTTCAACCTTCCCCATCTTCATCCTTCCTCATCTTCAACCTTCCCCATCTTCATCCTTCCTAATTTTCATTCTTTCTCATCTTTATCTTCGTCATTCCTCATACTCATATTACGTTCATCCTTTTCGTGAAGCTTAATCTTCCTTCTAATCCTCCTCATCCTGTCCTTTCCCTTCCCATTATCTAATATCTCTGTCCCTGATTCATATATTTTACATATGTAAAACACGAGTTTTCAGCTAAAAACCAACCGAATCGAACCTAAACTTGTCTTTAATGTAGTTCCTGAGTTCTGAATATTTAGTAAATAATATTATTATTATTATTATTATTGTTATCATTCTCCTATTTATTATTCTTATGTTTAAAGATTTTCCCTTTACTTATAAATGAAAAGGTCTTTTGATCTCATTGCAGTAGGTTAATTTAATATTATAATTTCTCTTTCATCAAAAAGTTACGATATTTCCATCTTAGAGTTAGGTTCAGATGATTTGAAAGGACGGATAAAAGTCTATAAAATACAAAGATTCTAATTAAAAATTAATCAATTGAACTTTCTCCAGCACACTGGTTTAGTAAGACTAGCTGCAGAGGATTGTTGAAGGGGTTTCTTACACCTTCAGATCTTATTTTCATTGATGTAATGATATTTTAATTCTTCTTGAAATTTCACATCCTGAACTCTGGGCTGATCCTATCTCTACAATAGATCTTCAACCCTAGCTTGCGGATCTTAGTCCAACCTAGGAGAATAGATTCAGTTTTATCTTAGAAGAAACCATCGGAAGATGACGATATAAGCAAATAAACAAATACTCTTAAAAATAATGAATGATCTCTAGTTTGCGCGGAGCAGCGCTGAATGAATATGTATATTTTTACAAATTATTGGTCGATTCATGGATATTTTCTACAGTATGTTTGTCAGGGGTAAACTTAAGTTTTGTTTATTTTAAGTTCTTGGTTGTGATTCAAGACGGATTAAATTTTAAGAATGAATCTCAGAATGAATTAAAAATATGAGAAAATGTTTGTTAACATCCACTATTTATTCATGTATCCTGGATCTATTTAGGACTATGAACTAGTCTTGTATCCTGGATCTAGGACTATAAACTAGTCTTGTACCCTGAATATAGAACTAAAGAATAGTCATGTATTCTAGATCTAGGACCATGAACTAGTCGTGTATCCTAGATTTAGGGCTATGAACTAGTCCTGTATCCTGGATCTACGTCTAGGAACTAGTCCTGTATGCAAGATCTAGGACTATGAACTAGTCCTGTATCCAAGATCTAGAACTATGAACTAGTCTTGTATCCTGTATCTACAACTAGGAACTAGTCCTGTTTCCAAGATCTAGGACTATGAACTAGTCTTGTATAATGTATCTGCAACTAGGAACTAGTCTTGTATAATGTATCTGCAACTAGGAACTAGTCTTGTATCCAAGATCTAGGACTATGAACTAGTCCTGTATCCTGGATCTGCAACTAGGAACTAGTCCTGTATCCAAGATCTAGGACTATGAACTAGTCCTGTATCCTGGATCTACAACTATGAACTAGTCTTGTATCCTAGATCTACAACTAGGAACTAGTCTTATATCCAAGATCTAGGACTATGAACAAGTCATGTATCCTGGATCTACAACTAGGAACTAGTCCTTGTATCCTAGATCTAGGTCTATGAACTAGGCCTGTATCCTGGATCTACAACTAGGAACTAGTCCTGTATCCAAGATCTAGGACTATGATTACCTCTATCCTGGATCTACAACTAGGAACTAGTCTTGTATCCAAGATCTAGGACTAAGAACTAATCCTGTATCATGTATCTACAACTAGGAACTAGTCTTATATCCAAGATCTAGGACTATGAACAAGTCATGTATCCTGGATCTACAACTAGGAACTAGTCCTGTATCCAAGATCTAGGACTATGAACTAGTCCGGTATCCTGGATCTGCAACTAGGAACTAGTCCTGTATCCAAGATCTAGGACTAAGAACTAGTCCTGTATCCTGGATCTACAACTATAGACTAATCTTGTATCCTAGATCTTGAAAAGAGTTCTCTAAAAATCAATCTGAATATTGATTCTGAAAGATGAACTTTAACATTATAGTATGACGTGATTTCCCCGTATTGTAAACTTGTCTTTTAAACTCGATATCAAATATTTAACAATTTGTTAAAAATATATTATTTCACAAACATTGTAATATTCTAATTAGAAACCAGGTTATCCAGTAAATATATATTTATCAGCGTATCCATTACAACCGACGCCATGAGAAGATAATTCATTTAATTTAGAAACATTAATTTTACAAAAATTGTGAATTTATTTTCTTTTTAGCTTTATTTAAAATATTTCTATGAGAAGGAAGCCTTTTATGTTTATTTTATGGAAATGCATTTTTCCATAATCTGGAAACTAAAGTGGGAAAGAGCAGATTTAGAAAGTTTTCTTCTTTTTAACAAAAATACTAACATTTATTCTAAAACTATTCAAAGCACATAGTAAAAGAATACTATTGGAGGTTCCTGGTTAAAAAAATCAGAAATTTTTACAGATATCGTGGTTCGTGGTAGTTTTTTGGGTAAAAACACTTAAGAACTTTTTCTTGTTTCTAGAGATTCTAAAACTCCTGAATTTTCTAGCTTCCAGAATTCCAGATTTAGAAAGTTCAAATTTTAAAGATTTATGGACGAATATTAATTCTCCTGCAGCCTGGAGGAACTCTTGAAACCAGCAACCTTATATGTCTCCCTGAAAATAAGATGGTTTCAAAACCCTATTATGTGAAAAAATTTTAACCAGAAAACTTTTTTCAAATTTTCGAAATATGATATATTAAGTTTAAAAAAGGTTTCAAGAGGGAAAAAAACTTGACATTTTTTCCAATTTTAAAGCATGATATATTGAATTAAAAATTATATTACCTGTGTTCCCTACTCTGCAGAGTACCCAGATCCTTGAGGTTGGGTTCGGAGCTGCTATCTCCGGGGAGAGGTTTGCAACCCTGAAAATGGAAAATACGAAATTTAACACAATGTCTAGACAAAGCCTCCCCTCCTCCTTTACTTAATGTTATATTAGTCCAAGCCCTATCTTCCCACTTTAATTATCATTTTCCGATCATCATATTTTTGCAACCCAAGGATTTTAAGTATTTTCACTGATCAGGTTGTAAAGAAATAGGGATTAGAAAATGTAAGTATCCAGTTTAATAAAAATAGTTAATTTTTTTTTTTTCCCAGTTTCACTTTGCATACAGGGTTATCCACTAAATGATGAGACTTCAGAGACTACATTACGGAATTTACGGCTGTCTGTTTCCTTATGTTTACAGTTCTCTGCAACTGTAAACTTGTAGTCAGCTGTCTGTTTCCTTATTTTTACAGTTCTCTGTTTCCTTATTTTTACAGGTCTCTGCCACTGTAAACTTGTAGTCAGCTGTCTGTTTCCTTATTTTTTACAGTTCTCTGTAACTGTAAACTTGTAGTCAGCTGTCTGTTTCCTCATTTTTACAGTTCTCTGCAACTGTAAACTTGTAGTCAGCTGTCTGTTTCCTTATTTTTACAGTTCTCTGCAACTGTAATCTTGTAGTCAGCTATCGGTTTCCTTATTTTTACAGTTCTCGGCCACTGTAAACTTGTAGTCAGCTGTCTGTTTCCTTATTTTTACAGTTCTCTGCAACTGTAAACTTGTAGTCAGCTGTCTGTTTCCTTATTTTTACAGTTCACTGCAACTGTAAACTTGTAGTCAGCTGTCTGTTTCCTTATTTTTACAGTTCTCTGCCACTGTAAACTTGTTTCTTTCTTTGCCAAATCATAAGAAGACTTTGTTCCAGGGAGAAGATTAAATTTAACCTTGGGCTTGTCCTATTTCATCGTCGAAAAATACTAACAATCCTCCACCAGTTATATTAAATGTAATGTAAACAATAAATATGTAACTTTCCTTTCCTTTACCTTTTTTTAGAATTGGTGGGAAATATTCCCACAACTTCTAACTTTGGAGGTTTTTAAATATTTTCTCTTGAAAAACTTAATTTTGTATGTTTTTTTTATATTTCATAGATAAATAATTACTTACTTATTTAATAAGTTTCAGGTCGTCTTTACAGTCTTATTCTTTGTGGGTAACCCTGTATGTACTGTCTGTATAGTCCTAAACTGGAGATAAACAAGTCTATAGTTGGAAAATTTCCCCTGAGCTCCAGTACTTTTCTTCTTGTCAATATTTCCTTCAATATAATCCTTAAGATATTTTTCTATACTGTGATGAGGATTGTTTTTGTACTAAAACGTTTCCTCGGAGAAGTATAAAAATAGTTGATTACTGGAACCTGATACTAAATACACATCTCTCTCTGTTTCCAGCTGAATCCAGAGCTTGGTAAATAACGACATGTCTGAAAAAAATTAATGTCAAAAGGAGTATAAAAAGTGTTATTAAGGTTGACATTTAGAGATTTTTACCGGTTGAGTATAAAGGATATTTCTGGTTTAAGTGTATAGGATATTTACATTGTGTAGGATATTTCTAGTTAAAGTGTATAGGATAGTTCCAGTTAAAGTGTACAGAAACAACCATGTATAAATCATAAATCGATTGCTACGTCCGTTTAGGTATTTCTAAAAATAGTTTTATTAAACAAATCAATTTCTTAAAATCCGATCTTTTTCTGCCGTAACAAGGTTCTGTACGAAGTACTAGTTTTGACCAGTGCTTAGGATCCGGATCCGCAAGATTTTGGCTTCCTGGATCCGGATACGCATCAAAATTAAATGGATCCTAAGCACTGGTTTTGACCGAAACATCAAATTCAAAGTGGTTTGCTATACTTTTAAAGTATGTATATATACCTGCCGAGGCCTAAATTTTGTCCTGGAAGCTGTGAAGCGAGTACGCTCGTAACTCCAACATTATCTTGGAACTCAGGCTCATCCCAGTTCACTTTCCTCTCATCCTTATACAACAGTAATAATTTAAAGGGAGTGTATGGCTAGGCATGATAGTTGAGCTTAGAATGCAGTATAGGAGAGAATTTTTTAGGATTAATTGGATACCTATCAGACGTTTTTACGGTGCATATTTGTTCAGCAAGAGAGCAAATTCAATCTTTAAAATAGATTGTTTATTTTAGAAGAATGATTTTGAGAATCGGTTTTTTATAAATTACTTAATAACGACGACAAAAATGTATAGCTATATGCATCATACAAGTGTTAGGAAACTATTTCCGCCACTCCCATGAAGGGGAAGGGGGCATACATATGACTAAATTATGTGAGGAGGGGTGGAGGAGAATAAGGATGAGGGATGACTATTATTGTCTACAGGAGACTGACTACTCAGGACTTTAGCGAGTATTACAAAACTTTACAAAGGGATTCATTATTTAACATAAAGTGCAAAGTTTTAATTTAAAACTACGGGATAATTTTTAAAACTTTTATAATGACTTAATTTGAAGTTTCTCGTTGAATGTAATCATAACCAAGAAAAAGTTATTTTTTTTTTATATAAATGTATGATATCAACTGTCACGACATGAGGGAAACCTTATACAGACTTCTAGATAAAATATTTAAACTTTACTTTTGTTATTTTATATGTTTGGCTCTCAACTTATTGAGCACACATTTTCTGTGGCAACTCAAATGACCCGAATTATACCTGGAAAAAATGTCGATTTTACGAATTTGAAAATGTATTAATTTAAACAGAAAAATCAACAAAAAGTTTTTGTTTCCTGGAGTGTGATGGAAAATTCAACAGTTAAAAGCTAAAATTGTAAAGAAAAGAAAATGGAAACTATCAACGCCTAGTTTTCTGAAACTAATAACAATGTAATTAATTACTAGAATACTAAAAACTATATGATAATAGTAACGATGAAGAGACAATGATAATAACAATGTAGTTAATTACTAGAATACTAAAAACTATATCATAATAGTAACGATGAAGAGACAATGATAATAAGAATGTAGTTAATTACTAGAATACTAAAATTTATATGATAATAGTAACGATGAAGAGACAATGATAATAATAATGACTACGATGATAATGATGATAAAATGTAATTACCTCTCCTGGTTCTAGAAAGACAGTAAATGAGTTAGGACAGTTTTCAACACTCGGGGGTTTGGTGTCTATCGCTTTTATCGACATCTAAACATTTACTTCTTGTAAAAAATAAAAGATAAAGGAATTGAGTCTTTGTAACAGACTCTGATTTTCTAATACCTATATTCGTTCCACCTGATGGTGTAAACCTTTGATTTTTCAAACGTAGGATTTTTCATTTAACAGAATTCATAGTTTGAAATATCTAAGGTCTACGGCATTGGATTACAAAGATACAGAGATTAGAAATTTATAGTTTGTGACAAAGACTCAATTCCTTTTGAGCATTTACCTAGAAATAAAAGCTATTTTTGTTAATTATTCATAACTTCTCTTTTTAATTTTGAAATAAATCAAAATAACGAAATATCTGAGAAATATTGATTGAAAAAGAACCTAATTATAAGAAATACAGTTTAGTTCGACATTTTAATCTACCAAAAGAGAGATTTAAAGAAATACAAGAACAGTAAAAAGACAATGTAAAGAATATGAAAACTTTGTAAGTAAAAAAATGAAAGAAATTTGATAAAAAATAAAGTAAAAAAATGTGAAAATACTAATAACAGAAACAAACTATATAAGGCTCAAATTAATTAACAAATAGAAAATAATTAAAAAATACTCTGGAAATAAAAAATGAAAAATGCAAATAAATGGAATAATGAGATAAGGAAACTTGAAATAACGCAAAATTAGGTTGGAAAAACAAATTTTCAGCTTTTTCCCCTTTTGAAAAAAAAGTAGAAAAAAGATTTACTCTGCAGCTTGCTATATGGTTGGATCCAGGATGGAAAGCTGAGAACTTGATGTTGAGTACTCCGGGTCCTACTGGAAACGAGAGATGTTTGGCCCACTCAGGTTCAGATCTAACTTCATGCTCCCAGTTCATGTTTGTCTTCGGAGCTGGAATTGTAATCTAGAAAGAGCAAGCTCATCAAATACTAATTTTTAAATTACACAAAGAAAGACTTGCAAAATTCGTTTTTCCAGAATCTATAAAAATATTGTAAGTTTTTAGTCACGAACAAAAAATACAAAGGAATTGAGTCTTTGCCACAAACTCTGCTTTTCTAAATCCTATATCTTTGGATTCCTATGTCGTAGACCTTAGATATGAATTCTGTTAGATCAAATAATATAAGTTTGAAATATCAAAGATTTACGACATTGTGTTCCAAAGATATAGGGATTATAAAATCAGAGTTTGTGGCAAAGACTCAATTCCTTAAAAAATTACGGAAAGAAAATATTGCAATATTAATTTTTAAAGATTCCATAAAAATATTTTTGGTTTATAGTTATCAGTTTTAGAAGCCATGAAAATCTAGGTTTCACATTAAAATTGAAATTCAATCTAAATATTAAATTTAATTAGCCTACCCTTAGTGGAACTACATCTGTAAGATTAACCAGAATATCTGGGGGGCAGATTATATACGGAGAAGGATGAGGAGATGGAGTTGGAGTTCGGGACGGAGGAGGTGGTGGTGGAGGAGAAATCTGATCAGGGGTATCAGGAACACTGGTCGGACCCGGAGAACAGGATGGAGATCCCTCCCGTTGTATCCATCTACCACGTTTACCACAGATCAGATTCTGTGTACCCTGCAGTACAAAACCTGGCTCACATCTTGCTCTACATCTCTTACGAAAATCATGTCGATCTATCATGCAATCTGTCGGAGATATAATCATATTCTCCATCGGAGTAATCGGAGGACACTTTCTCTCATCGCACCATCCTGCTCCTTCTTCCCATTCACCGTTCTCTAAACATTTCCGGGAGGCGCGGCCTTTACGGAGAAATCCTTTCTTACAGTACAGAGTACAGGTGGAGCCAACTTTGAGAGGGCCTGGAGAACATTTGAGTTTACCTCCATCAGGAGGATCTAGGGGCTGACAACCAGCTCTTAAACATTTAGTATTATCTGCTGAATCCTGTTGGAAACCAGATCCACAGATGCATTGAAATCCTCCGGCAAGATTCTCACAACCCTGTTCACAGATGGAAGGACGGAGACTGCATTCATCGATGTCGGAGCAGGATCCTGAACCTGGATTTAGTGTGAATCCCTCCCAGCACTTGCACTCGTATGAACCTGGAGAATTTACACATTCTTGAGAGCAAACTACTCCTTCTTCACACTCGTTTATATCAACACACACACCGTTATCATTCCTGTACCCGTCTTTACAGTGACAGTAGAAAGATCCTTCCGTGTTTACACAGTCACCTTTAGGACATAGAGAATCCGTCCCAATACACTCGTCCAGATCTTCACAGGTTCCTTGAGAGAATACATATCCAGGATCACAGATACACTTGTAATTTTCTCCATCCTCCTCACATACTCCCATCCCACACACATCAGGTTGACAGACGGATACACATTCTCCATCTTTGAGAACCTCTCCGTCTGCACAGTCCTCTATACACTGGCTTCCGTCTAGTTTATAACCTGGAGAACAAGACTTTACACACTTATTCTCTACTCTGATATATCCGTCTTTGCAGGTTGGTTTACAGTCTCCATCTACTAGAACAGATCCAGGTTTACAACCAGGTTTACATTCTCCGTCTATGTATATATGTGTATCCGGACATGAGTAACTACAGGAGAAGGTTCCAACCGTGTTGAAACATTCTCCAGGACAAATATTCTCCGTGGTTCTGCACTCATTGATATCTCTACAAGTCTTCCAATCATCTCCCAACTCAAAGCCTTCAATGGAAATTAAATCAGTTTACAATGCTACCTTAAAAAGTGAATGTTAAACTTTGCTATAAACGTAAAAAACTATTTGATGTAAGGTTAATTTTTGTTTTGAATTTTTTGGAAATCAAATATTTAACGTTATTTTCACTGGACACTGGTATTTATAAACTGTGCTCTAATTTTATCTTGATGAACTCTCTACCTGAAGGACAGCTACAGAAGGCTTGCCCGTTGACACTGAGGCAGGAGTGAGAGCATCCTCCATTGTTCTCCAGGCAGAGGTTAACAACCTCGCAGGTATGCTGGTCAGCTGACAGCCTGGTTCCAGGTATACCTCCACACTCACAGTAGTAGAACCCTTCAACCATATATATATGCGAATAAAAAAAAAACTTCTAGTTCAATAATTCATACAAAGGAATTGAGTCTTTCCCACAAACTTTCTTTTACCTATATTTTTGCAAACTGATAATGTAAATCTTTAATATTTCAAACTTAGACTACTTTATCTAATCTAAAAGAATTAATAGTTAGAAATATATAAGGTCTACTATACTGGGTTGCCAAGATATAGGAGAATATAAAATCAGAGTTTGTGACAAAGACTCAATCACTTTCGTTGTGATGATAATCTTCAAGCGTCTAATGAATTTAGAAAATTTTATGACGAAAATTCTTTAGAAAATTAAGAATGAAATAAACATGATTAAGAGGACTGTCCAAAGCCCCCCCCCCCCCACCCCTCCATGCAAGATCAAGTTGTAATTAGTGTTTTTTGCTATGTAAAAAGGTATTACCCAGTCAATATTCTAGCTTTTAAACTAATAAAATTTAGTTAATGATTTTTTTCTAAATGCACCCAAATTGTCTAATTTTTTCCGATGCATTTAATCCTCTCAGAGCAAAATTCACGTTCCGGTACCATAATAACCCCTGGTGGGTTTTAATATAATTATTTGAGCCCTATGAGATTATTCTGGGCGTGGGCTATGGGGGCTCAGCCCCCCCCCCTGATGAGTAAAATCTCTGGTTTCCAGGGAGTATTCATGGACCCCAACGGGTGCTGAGCCTCATAAAGGAGGAAAACAAGCCCCCCCTTAACAAATTCCAGATTAGGCCCCTGCTCTAAATCTTTAATTTATTTTTATTCATATTTTCCTTCAACATTGACACAGATATCCTGACAGGGACCATGCCCGTTGTTTGCCCGGCATTCGTTTGCATCCAAACATCTGTGACCGTCCTCGCCCAACTCAAAACCACTTGGGCATGAACCTAGAGATAGAGATATATTGTTACAAGGATGTAATGCAAGGAAAGTTATTTCAGAAGTGTACACATCTTTTGTACTGCAGTGTACTGTCTCTGGGCGGTAATGTAAACACAAGACGGATGTCAAAGCCTGACATGGGATCCATCTTTCACATAAAAAATCAATGAAATATTCTGGTCATAGGAAACTATTATGTGAATTATCAAAATTGTCAAAATTTAATGCTTTTAACCTCCTCGGATACTAAACGAACACTGATGCATCTATTCTTGTTTACAAATTCCGCCCAAAGAGAACTGGTTTCAATATGTACGCAGAGTATACACGACCGCAATTAACTTTCCTTGCATTACACCCTTGTATTGTTATTACTTTTGTTCAAACTTTATTGGAAAGGAATTAAATCTTGGCCTTACAGTCAAATTTTCTAATCCCTATATCTTTCCATCCTGACGGTGGAAAATTATTTTAAACTGTGATAGTTGGGTTGCAAAGATATCGGGATAAGAAAATCAGAGTTTGCGACAAAGACTCAATTCCTTTGCTTTTTCCTGGGGTTCCCTAGACCTGTTTGGCCATAGATTAATGAAATTAATAAAAATAACAGATAGGACACTATATGCCGCCTTTTCAAGATTTGGATGAAACTCATTCACAATAACCCTGAGGCAACAGTAGGCGTAGAACAAGCTCTCTCTGTCTTGTAATTCAACGCCGACTGTGCAAAACTCTTCTGGGCTTCTGCCTCATGGTTATTGTGAACGAGTTTCATCCAAATCTTGAAAAGACGACATCTAGTGTCCTATCTCTTATTCTATTTAATCTATGCATTTGGCCTATTATTGAGTTAACTAGTTATTTCACTCGTGGAATTTTAAGTAAATGGTTTATCTATGTTAGAATCTACTTGAATCTGTGCGAGATAAAAAAGATAGGAAAAATACGAAAGAAGGAAAGTACAGGATCTACCCTCAAAAAATGATTATTTAACGACTGCAAAACAATCTTTAGCATTGAATACGGATTTGTAACGGAATCCTTATCTAATTTAGTAAAAACAGGTTAAATGTAAGTGTTATTGTGAATTGTGAATAAACTCAGTAGAACATAGATTCATGGGCCTGCTATGTCTCATTAGTTTTCATGAAAGGGTCGACTTTAAGTGTCACAACCCCTTCAAACTCCCTTCTTCGCTTTTGTAGCCTTAAACATGTACTTTCTAAATCTATAAAGCTTTTAGCTTTAGTCTCTATAAGAATTAATTGGCAAAACTCTTTCGAAAATCAAAATTTGCGAAAAGCTTGCAACCTTAAATAACAATGTATAGTTGTCCTGAAGTATCATCCTTTGTGGGTAACCCTATATATAAGTTGTAAGTTGAGAACTCTCTTTTGGAAGAATCAAAAACTAAAATCTTCGGGGGTTAACTTTAATGGTTGATTAGTAACTAGCGATAATAAATAAACAAGGTGTTAATAACAACTTGTGGTGCCACGACATTTGACCCACGGACAAGTTATCCAGCAACAAGTGATCGAACGAAAGCATCAGATGTCGACTGGATCAGATGACAACTTAATCAGATGTCGACTAGAGCAAATGAAAACTGAATCAAGTGTCGACTAGAGCAAATGACAACTGAACCAACTGTCGACTGGATCAAATGACATCTAAATCACTTGTCGCTGGATCACGTGTTGCTGGATCAAATATCGTGGCACCCAACTTACAAATGTATGATCCTGGTTTATTATGGCATTCTTCATCACAATCTCCGTTCTCAATCTCACATTCATCCACGTCGAGGCACTCGTCGTTCTCCATCCTATACCCAGGGGAGCAGTAGCAAACCTGAAACAATGTTATTGGTTGGATAAATAACAAGAATAAATTAAGTTTTCGTCTGTTTTTTCCTTCCGTTGAGAAACAAAAATTTAATTTGTTCAAAGAAAAGATTTCTACCGGTTCTCCATCCTCCAACTTGCACTCCTGTTTACACCCGGAGTCAGGATCACACTCAGAGGGATTGGTTTCTCCCTGTGGAACAGTATATTCGTCTTCCAGTTCAGATTTCTCACATTCCGGCTGCAATAGGAGATATTAGAAATATAAAAATAATTGGGATATTTACATAGCATACACAATACAGGATAAATGGGATAAAAAGCATACACAATACAGGAGACACAGGATAAAAAGTACACAAAACAGGATACACAGGATACATTGCATACAAAATACAGGCTTACAGTATATAATACAATATACACAGGATGCATAGACTCCATATTCCGATACATAGCAAACAAAATACACAGGATAAAGGATATAGGACAAGATAAATAGTAAACACAATACACAGGATAAAATCAGAGTTTGTTTACATTAAATAGGATGCACAGAATACTGAGGATAAACTGGATACACTGGATGCACATTAAATAAGATGCACATAATTCTGAGGATACATGGATACTCACCACACAGGATATAAAATGTTACCTCCAGCCCCGTCCAAGTATAGTCCTGACAGAACAGACTATTGCTGGTCCTTGATGATATTATATAGCCACGGTTACATTCATAAACTGCTTGTCTATACTTCTTCTTTGGTAGGAGGATATTATCAACCTAGATATAGTAGGATATTATCAACCTAGATATAGTAGGATATTATCAACCTAGATATAGTAGGATATTATCAACCTAGATATAGTAGGATATTATCAACCTAGATATAGTAGGATATTATCAACCTAGATATAGTAGGATATTATCAACCTAGATATAGTAGGATATTATCAACCTAGATATAGTAGGATATTATCAACCTAGATATAGTAGGATATTATCAACCTAGATATAGTAGGATATTATCAACCTAGATATAGTAGGATATTATCAACCTAGATATAGTAGGATATTATCAACCTAGATATAGTAGGATATTATCAATAAAGAGTAGGATATTATCTACCTAGAGTAGGATATTATCCACCTAGAGTAGGACATTATCTACCTAGACTAGGATATTATTAACCTAGACTAGGATATTATCAACCTAGACTAGGATATTATCAACCTAGACTAGAATATTATCTACCTAGAGTAGGATATTATCTGCCTATACTAGGATATTATCTACCTAGACTATGATATTATCTACCTAGATTAGGATATTATCTACCTATACTAGAATAGTATTTACCTGGACAGGGATATTATCAACCAAGAGTAGGATATTATCTACCTAGAGTAGAATATTATCAACCTAGACTAGGATATTATCAACCTAGACTAGGATATTATCTACCTAGAGTAGGATATTATCTACCTATACTAGGATATTATTTACCTAGACTATGATATTATCTTCCTAGAGTAGGATATTATCTACCTAAACTAGAATATTATCTACCTAGACTAGGATATTATTTACCTAAAGTAGGATTAAATCAACCTGTACCAGGATATTGTCAACTTGTTTCTTGATGGACAACAAATGAATGGAATAACATGTAACACTACTAGCTGAATCTACCTCAGTATATTTTGCAACCCTGCCGTTGTTTATAGTCGGAGCTGGGACGGATACAGGATCACAGGTAAGATCTAGGATTCTCAGGTCTACGAAGTATTTCTGGTAAAACTCTGATAGGATTTCATAGTTCCTGTACAGTGTATCCATATCTTCATCCTCGTTATAATCACTTTCAGAATCTCTAGAATTAGACAGGTTTTAGATACAAATTAAAGTGACCATTCATCTAATTTAGAGAGGACCTCTTCGAAGAAAAACAAAAAAATTTCGCGGCTAAATACAAAAGAAAAATTGACCTGGTTTCCTCGTTATTTTGATTCTTCTCTGAGTAATCATAATCGTATTCTTTATCTTCATTCTTCTGATTTTTCCCTTCATCTTCTTTTCTTCTTCTTTGGTCTTCGTTTTCTTTATTTTGGTTTTCAGTGTAATCATCTTCTTCTTCTTCTTCTCTTCTCCGGTCATTTTCCTTTTCTACTTCTTGATTTTGTGTATAATCTGTTTCTTCAGTTCTCATTTCTTCTTCAGTAATTTCATCTTCTTGTATTCCCGAAGTTTCAAAAATATCAATCTCTGGTTCTCCGTGTTCATTTTCATTCTCTTTTATTTCTTGATCCTCATTACCTCTTCTACCTTCCTCTTTATTTTCAACTTCTATACCTTCTTTTCCTTCTTTTCCTTCTCCTCCTTCTCCTCCTTCTTCTCCTTCTTCTCCTTCTCCTCCTTCTCCTTCTTCTTCTCCTTCTTCTCCTTCTTCTCCAGGTTGGCTAAATACTCCAGGAGGTTTGTCATGAACTGTGAAGTAAGAAATCATTTTACTTGAAATTCTTTGAATTTCATATACATTCAGGACAAAATATTGTTTTATATTTATGATTATAAAACTTTGGTCTTCAATAAATAAATAGTTTTTTTCCTTTTTATATAGTGGTGTAACGTTGATTTCTATGACAGCTTTAAAACATTATTTTAAGAGTGCGTATTTTACATTGTTTTCAAAAAAAAAGTTTGTTTATTGATGGCTAAACTGCATTTTTGTCAAACACAGTCGGCACAATTTTTGTTTGTTCTATAACACAAAGAAAAGAAATTCTTTAATGTAACATTTCCCCATATTTAGTCATTTAAGGCCTCTAAGTATAAAAAATTGAGGCTGCAAACCTTTTAGGTTGCACTGTATATACCTATTTTGGTTGAAAGGGCGGCATATTTTCGCGCATATCAAAATTTAAAATGTTTCAGACTTTACTGTTATCCTACCGAATGCCCAAAAAATGGTTTAAATCGAAATTATTTTAGGGCCTTATTTTTTTTCAATTTGACCGGATATAAACTTTCCTTGACATTAGGGTCATCTGAATTCCACCAAAAAATTGGGCCTGATAGGTTTTTCTGTTTGGACGTTTAGATTATCAAATGTTTTGGTAAAACGCTAATTGATTCTTTTCCTGGGTTGATAGTCTCCTGAGGTTCTGACTCCTCCTCCTGCTCTAATCCAGACCCTGAGTAAGATTCGGTAACTCCATCCTGTTCATTCAACCCTAGGTCATCTACCTACCATAAATACGTTCTTTAGAAAATCATGACATTTTAAATCAATATCTTCTATTGAGATTTTCTTTTTTACTTTATAATAAAACAACGATTAAGCAAATTATTACATATCTATAATTAATAGAAAATATTTGAAGTCTTTGAAGTTTTTATAACTGCATGAAAGATTTAAAAATGGGATTAAGTAAAAAAATGTACAGTGGCACCCCTAAAAATGTAGGAAGTCGACTCAAGTCCTGATTTTAACTACTCCATGAAGTTGAAACACAACAAGTGTAAACAGACCCATTTCACTCAATATGTGGAGTTTCTAGCTGTGGTAAAACTATTTGCTTTATAACATCAAATGAACGAGGATTGCTTAAATGTCGTTTCACTTTTTTCTACAGTTTTACTAAGAACTGTATACATGGGATGTGATATTTTTTTAAATTATACATTAATATTTTATTTTATCATTTTTATAATTCTATCACCTGCTCTTTATCTCGCTTTTCATAATCGTAATCATAGTAATCCCCGTATCCTCCCTGTACATCAGAGGTTCGGTTATACTCCTGAAATATCTACAGGGTGTCCCAGTATTCATGGTTCGGTTATACTCCTGAAATATCTACAGGGTGTCCCAGTATTTATGGTTCGGTTATACTCCATAAATTTCTAGCTACAGGGTATCCCACTATTTATGGTTCGGTATAAACCATTAATAACTCATTCATAAATTTAGAGGTTTCTAACTCAAGGCCCAACTTTTGTAAATTTAAGCTACGTCGCTGAACTTTCTACTGCCGGTTCAAATTTGAACCACCGATTAATGAAGGATTTGCGCAATCGGTGATTCATATTTGAACATTCGGTGCCCATGGTTGATTTGTATTATTTGACCTGGTAATCTGTATATTCAGCTTTATCTTCATCATACAGAACATATCTATACTCCTGCTCCTCTCCTAAACCAACCATCAAATAAAATGCAGAAAGTCTTCAGGAAATAAAACTAAATTCGTTAAATTGTTTTCACATTTTGATAATCACGAGGAATGTTGATAATGTCACATTTTGATAAACACGAGGAATGTTGATAATGTCACATTTTGTTAAACACGAGGAATGTTGATAATGTCACATTTTGTTAAACATGAGGAATGTTGATAATGCCACAAAAATGTTTGCTTTTTGTAAAACCCAAATAAATAACGATCAAAAAGTATTATGAATAAAGTGCTAATTTCTATTAACAAAAATGTTCAGGGAACAAATTTATTGACTTAGATTCTGCAAATTATCATGAAGGAATAACGCATGTAAAGATCGTTTTCTAGCGATTTTTAATCGACTTTTAACCTATTACTTTTCACGTTTTTAACAATAAATAAAAGTTAACTGAATATAAGGTTTCCAAAATGTGGTCTGCATGTTCATTTGTGAACGGAAATTTTAATCTATCATTATTAAAACTGAGCTGGGAACAATTGTGTTGGATAATCATGGTTCGATCTCGATATCCACTGTGAGCACTTTTACTTTGAGAATAAATGCTTAATCTTTTTTCTTCAAGTATTCCTCCCCTGATTAAACCCATAGATAAATAAATAAACATAGATAGCTTATGTACGCAAAATCACCAAGAATTGTACAGTCCGCGAACTCACACTTCTAGGGGTCAAAGTGTACTTCAATGATAAGTGGGGTGGTTTGGTGTTTTAATGGATTTCATAATAGAGTGTAAAATAACTCCAGGAATGGAACTATTTGAACAACAATATTTCACTGAGCAATATATTATATTGACAAGAACTTAAATTTCTCTCTACAGAACTCATGTACACCACAAGTACTCAATGACATAAGAACAACCAATGTTCACAACCGACCTAGTTAATCTATATAATAGGAATATCTTTAAAACATCTCTGTACATTTATATCTTTCAAGATGAAAAATGTCGTCTTATGCGCAATCTATCTTTATCTATGATTAAACCCTATGAAACCCCTCACTGGGTAAACATTCCATATGGAATCCATCCAATAAAGATTAAATTAATCTGCTGATTAAGAAACGATCGAAATAAAGCATTGATCTCGAAATCCATAGTACAAGAGTTCCCAGATCATAATTTTAAATTTTTTAATAAATGCTCTGTTTGGGAATTTTCTTTCATCAGCATTTTAAAAATATGAATGTTTGTAAATATTTATAGCTGATATAGAAAACTGTTCGAAGTATACACTTATACACACGGACAGGTAGCTAAGATCCAGCCCCCGGCCCTGATTATTAGATGTTGGTAAAAAGCGAATTGAAAATCAACCAATTAAGTAAAATGTTTTTTTTTCATTTTCATTGGACTGTTTAAAATTATAACTTGAGTCTAACAGTCGTCTTCCTATTCCAAAGTTTTATGAGTCCCAGTGTAGAATAATTCCAGGAAAACTGTACACATGTAGCAGACCAGTACACCGGTGCAATAATTTTCTAGTAACGTCCTAACGTTTGCCGTACCGTACACATCTAATATTTAGACCCGAGTACGTTACCATTATATTTTACGTTATAATTTTAGACCCAACACGCCTCTATTAGCCTGATCCAGTTTGATAAAAAGATTATTTTTGGATTAAAATCAGATCGTTTTATTTTAAACCGGTAAGACTGCGTTGAGCGTAAAATTAAAAACCCTTTGTGGGGAAGAGTAGAGGGGGGTTCTAAAGGAGTTGAGTCTTTGCCACAAACTCTGATTTTCTTATATCTATATCTTTGCAACCCAATGGCGTAAACCTTAGATATTTCAAACTATGAATATTCTATTAGATTAAATAATTTAAGTTTACAATTATGTTGTAAAGATTTATTTATTAGAACATTTGAGCTTGTGGAAAAGACTCAATTCCATTATTCAGATTTATGATTGGTTGGATTAGTTCCTGTTGATATATTACAGAAGTAAAGCAGAACCAGGCACAGAGCAATCTTCTGCATCAAGATCGGCATTTTATCAACATTTGATCACTGCAGTAGTCTTTATAAAGTGCAACACTTGACTTTGTGTCCTCACACCGTACAAAAATAACAATACAGGAAGTTTTTCTCTCACAAATCTGGTAAAATTGAACAGGTGATGCCTAGGTGCGGAGTAGAACTATATACTAGGAGTAGGACGGAGAGAAAGCTATATTCCCCTCCTATATACTCTTAAACCCATTCATAGAGAAAATATAGCTCTGAGAAAAAGTAAGGAACACTCAGCAGAAAACATAAAAATACTTTGGGACAGAAAAATTTTACAGTTTTCATTTAAAGATATTTGAAATTATTGTGATTTTCTATTTAATAAAAGGGATTTTCAAACGAAAAGTGTTTTTTTTTTGACGAGGTAAAAAATCTTTTCATGATGATAATAGAATTAGCATCTTTAGATTTTAACATTTGGGTATATACAGTTGTTTTATTATGAAAATGGTAATACAGCAGTCTGTTACTCCATACACATAACCCCCAAAACCAGTGCTGGACAAATGTGTTAGCTGGTACTTTTTGCATTTATGTAGCACAAGCATCGGGCAAATTGTAAACACTTTTTTAAAACTATTCGAAAGGGATGGTTGATTGCCAGAAACCAATAGTAGACATGTACTGAATATACCCTTTAGGACTGAAGCTGTGCATACAAAATAAAATAAAATAACTTCATAAGTTTGAACAATGTAAAATTATAGATCAAAACGAGATGAGATTTAAATTGAACGAATCAAGTATCCTTGGTTAGTTTCTGATTTACAAAGAAAGGTTGACAGGGAACTATAACTTTAATTTAAATCAGCGGATTTCCTATAATGCCTAAAGGTTTGTAAAAAGAACACATCAGCTCAAATTCTATTTCAATTTTTAATTGTGGCTTTATCTGTGTGCGGCTTTAACTTTGAGCATCTTCTCTTTGTACTGAATAAAAAAATATAAAAATGTTTGCGGATTTCATAATATTTTTTTGCGCATTTTCAAAAAAAACTATATTTAAGGAAGAAGACTTAATTTAACCGTGGGATTGTCATATTATATGGACTTTAGGTCGTCTTTAGAGTCTCATCCTTTGTAGTAACCCTGTAGTTAGAATCAACAAGTTGGCCTTCGTCATAAAGTCTCATTCTTTATGCTTAACCCTGTATTATTAGTTAAATGTGAATATTATTTCCGACGACATTACGAATCCTCCTGCAACAAACTTGATATAATAAATAGAATATATGTACATAATAGATTATGTCAGAGTATTATAGTCAAACAGTATATCACTGAACACGGCAAAAAAACATAATCAAATTATACAATGAGATCCATAAAACCCTGGATGAGGAAGACAATATTTATGCAATCTTTGTATTTGATGCTGTTTTAAATCAAATATACAACAAATACTCTGAGCTAGTTGATTTATATTTTTGAGAAATGATGAAGTATAAACGGTATTGAAGAAATATCTGTTAAAGCAATACTTTTTAGAATTAAAACATTATTTGATTGCAGTCGGACCTATAATAATGTTAAATATGAAGTCGACATTTATTAATCATAAGTGTATTATTAGCAAGGAGATTATAGTATTTAGAGTGTTGNCCGACAGACTGTACTGCAGTTGGTATATGTATACATGATGACAGGAGTAAGGGTGTGGTGGACTCGAAAGGGTGGGGTGGAACTCGAAAAAATTGAAAAATATGATATCAGGACTGTGACAAATCTTCAGATGATCTGAAGAATTGAGAAAAATTGAAAATTTGTTCATTGGTTTATTATGTAATACCTGAGCAAACATTGATTTGATTTTGAGACAGGTTCTGTTGAAACAACTTCTTATCGTCGAAGATAAAGAAGACAGGGCGGGGTCCTGTCCTGTTAGGCCTTTCTCTCTGAAGAAAGCTGAGCAGATGATGGCTGTTAAGAACCGTCAGAGCCGTCGCAGAAGAGTTTGCTAAAAATTTGCTGTTTTCATAACTTGACTCTTACAGTCGTCTTCCATATTCCAAAGTTCTGTATGGGTCTTGCCGTTTTTAAAGATAGTTTTTCAGATTTGTTATCAAGAAACCGTTTATATTTACAATATTTTAAAAGCATCGATCATATTGTTAAAGATTTTTTATTCCTTTATTTGAATTAGTTATTTGATATTAATTAATTATCAAGCACTATATTTATATATTTGTGGAGTTGAATATTGATATATTTTTTAGAATATATTCGATACTAAGCAATTATCATTATATTTATATATTCGCAGAGTTATGTATTGATATATATTGATATATTTTCTAGAATATATTTGATATTAAGTAATTATCCATGTATTTATATATTCGCGGAGTTGAATATTGATATATTTTCAAGAATATGGCTTCTCAACCCAGCCACAGGACCTAATCCTAAGCTAGTCAGTTTCTTAAACATCTTCAATAAGTACAGTGAACAATGTACAATGTACAATGTACAGGGCAAGCAATACTGATATTAGATCAACAAATAAATGTTGATTTAGGGAAAGGGTTTTAACACTAATTATCTTGCAAAGTACAGGAATTATAAAATTAGAACTTGTGGCAAATGCTCAGTTTCTTTGTAGTAATTAAATAACACCATTATATTTTTAAAAATTCAGATATTTCACTTTAAGCCTACTGTTTATAAGTTTCTTTAAAAAAAAGTAGATAAAAAATTTAAGTTTACAAATGAACAATTATAACCTTACACAAACTGCAATTTTCTCTTGCTTACATCATTGCAACCTGTCTTCATACACCTAATTGATATTTTTAACTATAAATTATGCTAAATAAAATACTCAAAAGTTTGAAAATCTCAAATATTTACATCTTAAGGTGGCAAAGATAAAAATTTGCTGATAAAGATTTAAAATTCGGTGATGGTGATGGACCAAACCTCTGTAGAGAAAAAAGTAGATGTTATTTACACATTTTATTAAAAATATATTTCGGTCGGTCTAAGTTCTTAAGATTGTTTCTGTACGTCATGAAGATTAAAAACAAACTAAGTTTAAATTAAATTAAAAAAATTAAGTTTAACGCGAGTGGTAGTTTTCCTTGAATTATTTGCTTTATATTTCTACGATGCTTTTATAGGATTGTTCACATATCTCAGGTAATTTTAGTTCTGCAGAAGAAAATGTGCAAATTAAAAAAAATGTGCAGATTAAAAGAAAATGTGCAAATTAAAAGAAAATGTGCAAATTAAAATGAAATGTGCAGATTAAAAGAAAATGTGCAGAGTTAAAGAAAATAAGCAGATTAAAAGAAAATGTGCAGATTAAAAGATAATATGAAGATTAAAAAAATGTGCAGATTAAAAGAAAATATGCAGATTAAAGGAAATGTGCAAATTAAAAGAAAATGAGTAGATTAAAAGAAAATGTGCAGATTAAAAGAAAATGTGCAGATTAAAAGAAAATGTGCANAGGGGGGTTGGGGTTGGCATGACTACCATTTTTACATGTAATATGAATCCTTATTATTCAATTGTAAAAGGACACTCCAACGAAATAATACACGTATTTTTAACATTTTTTTTTTAAATTTTGAATTTATAAGGTACAGATTATACAAAAAATTCTATTTTACTTATTCTTGTCTTAATTTTTTCCTCCTTCATTCTTTATTTTCTTCTTTTGTTGACTATCCCTTTAACATACATATTTATAAACATAACTTTTTGTTTATTTGTTCTAATGTTTACTTAAAAATCAGATTTGTGTAACTAGGTATCCTTAGATTAAAATGAGTTCTGTGTGCGGCGAGGTTGGGTTTCAAAGACCTCCTCCTCCTGTCAGAAAACGTAGAAGTATTCTACCTAGAACTAAACTTGTCAAGGTACGAATTCTCTAACTGTTAAATCTTAAATCTGTAAGAAGGGGCTCAGGCTGTTTAACAACCTCTGGTGGTTTGATTTAAAACGCATGCTTTGAAAAAAATTAAATTATAAAGTGTCTTCTGGTAGGTTTCCTTACATCACGGGAAATAAAGTTAAACCTTTCATTTTAAAAAGGAATTGAGTCTTTGGAACAAAATCAAATATTTAAACCACAATATCTTCAGAACACGATGTTGTAAACCTTTGATATTTCAAACTCAGATTATTTAATCTAACAGAATTCCTAGTTTGAAATATTTAAGGTATGCGACATTTGGTTCCAAAGATATAGTAATTAGAAAATCAGAGTTTGTGGCAAAGATTCAATTCCTTTACACTTTGAATAAGCTGTGATGGCTAAGCGTTTGACCAAACGAGCAGTTTCAACCTTTATAGCGGGTAAAGGCTGTTTTTCAAACTATAGCATTGGAAAGAAACCTAAATATAATATGTACAATTTTCTTCACTCATTTTATGTCTTTCTGTGGGCAAAATATGTCTCCTGAATTGTCTCTGTTCTTTCTAATTTCTGATTTTTGTAGAATCTGGACCAAGCGCATATAGAACCTAGAACAGGTGAAATCTAGTATACTAGGCTTTTATGAACAATTTTATGTTTAAACTTTTGATCTGAAAGTTACCATATTTAATCATTCTCAAATCTGATAAAATTGGCGCATTTTCAAAATAATAAATTTCGACATTTCTTTCAAGGCAAATTTTGTCAACTTTGTCCAGCTATAAAAACCTTTCGGGGGGTCATGTGGGTTGCCACAGAAATGGGTCCGGATCGGTTCAGCCGTTTTCACGTCTATTGGATACAAACAAACAAAAAACAAACACACATGATAGCTATAATTGTTTAAAAATGTTTAGGCTACGTAGAATGTAGATGCATTTCACACACAACGAATATATGTAAAGTGTATACAATGAACAACATAGAAAGCATGTATGAATATGTACAAACATACAGTTTACAGCTGCAGTAACATAGGAAAAGGAATGAATTTTAAAACTGCATAAATAAATAAGTATTCGCAAAACATAATAACTAGAGTGAACATAAATCTCATATTGTCTCTTTTTAGCTCCAGGTCCAAGTTACACCGGTTATCCGGGTCCCAGGGAGGATGGTAGATTCCACAGAGATAAAGGGAACTCTGAGAGCCAAAAGAATGACAACCGAACCCGAGGAGATACCGAGGGGAGAGATGGGAGATCTACTCCAGGTGAACCCGGATACAGAACATCTCCAGGTGTACCCGGATACAGAACATCTCCAGGTGTACCCGGATACAGAACTTCAGCTGGGAACAGATATAAGGAGAAGAACTTGAGTCCTCATGTTCCATTCTCGGACAAGGTTTTGAAATCTCCTTCACTCAAAAAGAAAAGGAATGGCGCTTTTATCTTTCCCAAATGTTCGTTTTTTACAGGTTGATAAACATCCTCTGTTTTAGGATAAAAATGAAATATATATAAAATAAATTTTTTTCTCATGCCATGCTAGATTTCACTCAAAATTTGGGTCCATTCGTCGGAAACTAAAATAAAAAAACAAACAATTGTTTAGTATTCCAATATAACCTCTTCTTTATACTACATGTAATGGGAAATAAAAAGTGCATGGTTTAAAGACAGGCACCTTCTCCCCCCTCTTCATCAGTAGAACCTGGATACCATTCCTCTCATTCTTCAGTAGAACCTGGATACCATTCCACCCACCCTTCCCAAATATCTTGTGGAAATCCAAATTTTCTTTATCATTCGAAAGAAGAGCATAATTCCAGCTACACACACGATGTTAACTCGAAATACAGACACGAGACCAACTCGAGTTATAGTTCTGTGCAAAATATTAACTCCAGTTCTGGTCAGAATTTGAACTCAAGATCAAGACAAAATATTGTCTACAGTTCAGAAAATGATATCAACTTAAGTATTAATTCTATTATAAATTCAAGTTGCAGTTACGATAAAAACACAAGTTCAAGAACTAAAATAAAATCAAGTTCTAGGAAAGGAATTTACTCGAGTTCACGGGACTGTTTGAACCCAAGTTCAAGACAGTATATGATCTACACTTCAAAACCAGTGAGTGACTCTAGTCTAGGAAATGTTCCTGGTTTAAGTCAGTCAGGAGAACATCTGTCTCCGAACTCACCAAGATCTACTCCGATATCTTCCAATCCTCAAACCCGATCAATTCATCCTTCTCCGCATATCCGAACCAGTCACTCCTCACCGACGGGATTTGAAAGGAAAATTTGAGAATATTTGATAAATAATTTATTATGTTTGATGTTTCTCTCATGATTAACTATTGTGAAAAATAGTTTTTAAGGTTGATTTCCAATATTCCCTGATTTATTACAGTTTACCGGAGACTGATATCCGTCCTGTATCCGGGTTACCCAAACCTTTGGACCGAATCTCTAGATCTAACAAACCCTTTCATCCTTCTCTCTCTACATCTAAAACTACGCCTAATATTGGATCTTCAAGGATCAAAGTAAGACTATTAAAGAGACTGTATAAAGCCTAATTTTAAGTGACCCAGCATGCAAAGATACATAACGGAGGTAGAATTTAAAGAATTTGATCCGCGGCTTAAATTTTAAACAAGGCTCAAATATGATTAGTTCCACGTAAAATTGTATTCAATGTTTCAAGATTTAAGTCGGCGCTCAATTTAAACCGGTTTTAGGCGGATTTAGGACGTGGCTCAAATTTATAAAATTCGGACACGGTATGCTTAAAACTTTAAAAGGATCAAAAATGTGGAAGATATCGTCATTTTTCTGACTCGAACCGTGTTATTATTGTGAATTTCTCCATACTTTTTTAAAAGCAGAGAAACCACGAATGAAAATAAACAGTTTTAAGAAACGAAAACGTGGAGTTCTAAATCTAATTCATACTTTTTAGGGTACCATTGGAAATCGGGCATTGCCATCTTTGCTTGTATGGAGGGTCACTTGAAATTATGCCTTTCCTTTTAAATAATTTCTAATTTTAAGGAACCTTTAAATTGAGAAGTGTCATCTTCGACTTTTGAAGGAACAAGCTGTTTACATTCTCTTCTCCGTAGTATAAAGAAATATTAATTTGATTAGGATCTCATAAAATGTTGATAGATTGATTCATACAATGTTGATAGAATCTCATAAAATTTTAATGAAGTAAATTAGGTAAAAATTTTAAAAAAGAGTATCAAAACGCAGAAAACAAAATAGGAAAGGCTAAAAAGTAGTTGATCAGGTCATCATGAAATTTTATGGTGGATTTCAGAAAAAATTATCTATCATTTTAATATGCACAGAAAAAAAACTTTCCCACAGGAAAAACTCATTGCTTGAAATGTTTTGATTTTTTGAGAGCTGACTTTAAATAATGTTTTTATGTACAATATGTGTAGATAGAATCAGTTGGGATTGCAATAGGAATAGTTTGTTTCAACAAATAGCGAACAGAACAAAATTTCCAAACAATATATTTTTTATTGGCCCATGTTAAATTCATCTTTTTTGTTTTAGCTAATCCATCCTACATTATTATGTTGTATTTTGAATGTATCTTGTATTTTATGGTAACAATTCAAAAATACACTTTTTGCAGCGTATTTTCTAGAAATGACATATTAGAAATAGAAATAGAAATAAAACCTAAAGTGAGGTTTGGAATCGCTGAAGTCACTTTTCAAGTAGAGTTCTCTGAATAAAGTTGACAGTTCCATAAATTTTGAAAAAAAAACTGAATATTTTGTATTCAGGAGAATTCTGCGTTTTTGGGATTAAATTCTGAGAATCCTGAGGAGAAAGAGAGACATGCAGAGCTAGTCAACGAGCTCCGGGATGTTTTAGAACAGAAGAAAGTTCTGAAATCTGTTGAAATGTTTTCAACTGTGGAAACTAACAGGGGGGATTATGAAAATATTTAAAAATATTAAATTCTTATTTCTAAGAAAAACAGAGATGCAATGAACTGAGTTTTTGCCACAAACTCTGACTTTCTAATCCATTTAGTATTTCAAACTATATTCTGTTAAATCAAAATGTCAAATATCAGAGATATAGCAAAGATATAGGGATTAGAAAATTTGAGTCTGTAGCAAAAACTCAGTTTTTTTTGTGGGTTTCATGATCAACACAGATTTTTAAACCCGCACAATTTTTTTTATTTTACTAATAATGAAATGTATTAGGATTACAGTTTGTCCCTTTAAATGTGGATAAATATTTTCTGCATATTATCCAGTTCTATCTTCAAGTTCTCCACCTATAAGTCGTATAACCCAGTTCCACAGAAATCAGAGAACATGAGAAGCAAAATCAAACTTTTCGACACTGAGCCAGCGACTAGAAAGGTAATGTTATATTATTGTTTAATTATATTTTTTTCTTCACCTTTATACTTCTATCATGGATTAGGAACAGAGTGGGGAAGAAAAGAAAACTGCAAGAAAAGAAGAAAATGCTCACCAGGCAAAAATATTTCAAATATTTCAAAAATTTACCATACATGTTTTTTTTATAACAAATAAAATTAACTTTTGAAAACGATAAAAATGATACTTTTAACATCTTCTAAGCAAAATTAAAGCATCCCAAGTTCTTTAACAGAAAATGTTGATCTTGAAAAAAAATCTTAAATTGAGAAAAAAAAAATTAAACTGCTGAAACTTTTTCATGCAATGATCTTTTTAATGTCGTCGTTAACCTGTTAGTTTTACTGAAGCTTGTCTTACTGCATACTTGACTCTAAAAAATTTGAAAATTAAAATAGCTTTTCATCTATTAGTTTTTTGTGTGTGAGAATATTAACTATATTTAACCTTTAGAATAAAGAAAAAGTGCTTGAGAATGGATTCAGCTCCGGAGTTTTTAAACATACAGGTGCAAGATCTAAAAATACTTAATACACCGTATAATCTTCTATTCCCTATATCTTTGCAACCTGATGATGTAAACCTTTCATATTTAAAACTTTGGATGGTTTAGATCTAGCAGACTTCTTATTCCGATATTTCACATGTTTACGACATCAGGTTTAGAAGATATATGGTTTAAGAAATATGAGTTTGGACAATGTTCAGTGCCTCCACATTGATAAGAGACGGAAATTTTTGAATGAATATAATGATGAGTTAAACTTGTTTTTAAAAATTAGAAGTCACAACCCTCCTCTCGACCAAGGAGAGACTGAGAAATATTTGCATCTTTGTATAAACCTGCTTAACTCCTAAATTAAAATTTTATTCAAAAGGACTAACCTCGATCCGAGAAATCAAATCCACAATCAATTAATATATTTAATAAGATATAATCAAATATTTATGTCAAAAAGTAAAAGTTAACTTGTACAAGAACTTCTTTGTTTAAAATTTTATTTCTAATTTATTTTATGTTTGTAACTATTCTGTTTATTTTAAAAATCCAAATTGTCTTGAATTAATGATATTTAGAAGATGGTAAACCTCATTCAAAGCAGAGTAAAACAAATCATCCGGAACCTTCAGATGGTTTTAAGGAGGAAGGTTTATCCGGATATGGAAAGAAGAGTGAGAGTAAACCCGGATGTGATGAAATGGAGAAGGGTGAAATCGGATTTGCTGCGGAGGACAATTTCCCCAGCATAGAAGAGGTTAAGAATCGTATCAGGGAAGCCATATATTGACAATAAATCTATACGACATGGATTTAGAATTTAAATCTACAAGGTCATGTGACCAAATTTGTTTTCAATAATAAAGATTTAAAGCTTATCGTTGCTTTTTATAATTTAACTAAACGAAAACTTTTTATTCTGATTATCTGGCTTCCGTCAGGTTGGCTAGAGAGCAAATGCTCAATGGCGGAGCTCACGAGGATTCAAAGATTAAGAAACCAGATTCAGGATATCTGAAACCTAGACAGGACGATATCAAGGTTCGGGATAAGATACAGAACTTAGAACTTGCCTCTCAGCAACAAAATAAGCTTTTCATATCTGGTTCCGAGATAAAACAGGACCCGGAGAAACCTTTTATTTCTGGTTTAGAGATGAAACAGGACACTAAGAAACCTTTCATATCTGGTTCCGAGATAAAACAGGACCCGGAGAAACCTTTTATTTCTGGTTCCGAGATGAAACAGGACACGGAGAAACCTTTTATTTCTGGTTCCCAGATAAAACAGGACCCGGAGAAACTTTTTATTTCTGGTTCCCAGATTAGAGAAGACTTGGAGAAACCTAAACCTGTACTCATCGTTCCAACCACTTCAATTAAACCAGTGGAAAAGGTAATTTTTAATCACAGACAGGAATACATCTTTATGGGAGGAGCCTGGAGACTTAAAAATCTGATTTCTACAATTTTTATTTTTAAATAATTGCCAACAAACAATAATTACGAATAAAAACTTCGTGTATTATTCTGACCTCACCCATTTTCATATTTGAAAAAGGCCAGTTAAAAAAACACGAATATTCAAGAAAATATAATTCTATTAGAATTGTTTAGGAACCCGAAAGTTTGAATGAAGAAAATGAAGTGAAGGTTGAGCTTGTTGAAGAAGCTGCACAGGATATTACAGGAACAGTTGTTGATGAAGATAATAACACATTCACAGAGACAGTTGTTCAAGTGGAAAAGGTTGAAGCTGAAGCAAAAGATGAAACTCAGAAAACAAACAAACTTGGTTCTTTAAAGATGGAGGCTGGGTACCAACCAAAGATGGAGGCTGGGTACCAAACAAAGATGGAGGCTGGGTACCAACCAAAGATGGAGGCTGGGTACCAACCAAAGATGGAGGCTGGGTACCAACCAAAGATGGAGGCTGGGTACCAACCAAAGGATTATATTCACATGATGGACAGCAGCTCTCTTGGTAGCGTGGATATTGATACGGTAAAGTCGATCATAGATGATGTTATATTCATGATTATGATAAAAATGTTAGTAATAACTATGTGACAAATTTTGTTATGATAGATTATTAGGATAACGTTCTTTGTTGATTATGATGGCAATTATAATAAAGATGAAGATGATCATGATGATAGTTAAAATGATGACTGTGATGACACTGATTGTGATGATGATGATTAAGCAGGTGTAAATGACTGATCATTTATTATTAATGATAATGATGAAAAAAATGATGATGATGATGATGATGGTTAAGATGATGATGATTATGATGATATGATAGATAATGATGATAATGATGGTAATAATATGATGAGAATACTTTTGGCAATTATTACAATAATAAGAAAATCAAAAATAATTTAGCTTTAAAGTTGTAAATATTCAGGTTATTAAAGATATTGATGACACAGTACGGGCAGAAACTCGTATCCTTGAGGATGAATATTATGCTGAAATATCTCAAACTATAGATAAGTTTGATGAAAATAGGATAGTTAAACTAGAACTGGACCAATACGAGGAGATGAGAGAATCTTCAGACTTTGAGGAGATCATCAGTCCCAATCCTGCTCCGGGTACCAGTACAGAGAAGAGAAGGATCGAAACCTGCTCTGCCATTGAAAGAGAGACACCTGGAGAAAAGAGCATTACTGAGTCCTGTCATGTATCTGGAGAAGACATAAAGGATGTGAAAGGACAAAATTGTAAGATAGAAAAACAAGTTTCATGGGTCGACGATAAGAAAGTTATTTATCAAGAGAATGAAGATGGAAAGGAAAGAATCCTAGATAAGGATAGGAGAGAAGAATTAGATCAGAGACACAAGAACGAAGATGATAAACGGGAAAAAGGATCGAAAGCTATGAAAACATTTCAACTAATTCGACAAAAAACTGTTGAATTTGTTCAAGGGAAGGAAACTGAATGGAAATCGAACCTTAGTAAAGTAAGCATAATCTATTTATTACATCAAAAAACATCGAATCAGAGAATGTTTTTTTACAAACATTAAGCTTACAGAAAAGAAAAGTTTTGTTAAAAAATAGATTCTAGCAATTCGTTGCTACTAGCTCTTTCACGATTCGAACCTGGCCTATCAAGACCTTCAATAGGATAACATGTCTCAATTTTTCTTTTCTTTCCTATAATAATTAATCCGGCAAAAATTTTTTTTAACTTTAAAATAGAAGAGCAAAAGAACATAAAGCAATTTTTTAATATTACCTTATTAACTTATAAAGTAAAAATTCTAGACATTAAGAAACGGTTTGAAATCTTGACTTGACAAAACCTAAAAAAGTGACAAAAAATAGTTGATTCTATATTTATCAGTTATTTTATGAAAGACCTTGTATAAAAATATTCATTTTAAAGTGTAAATAATCTCAAGAAATTAATTCTTGGTTTTTTATTTTAAAGGGACTGTAAAGGAAAAATGAAAGGGGGTATAGGCAGAAACCTAAGAACCTATTCTATCTGATATGTTCCTGTCTCAAGAAATTAATATAAAACGGTGTCAAATTATACCAATTTATATATACAGGGTGAGTAAAAAAACAACAGGGATTATCGATGTTTTGGACAAAATTTTTATTTTGTTTGGATTTTAGGCATAAAATAAAATAAAATGTGATAAAAAAATTTAAAAAATTTTTGGAACAAAGGAAAAATTATCCACGAAAACGATTTTTTTTAAAAAAGGGTGGAAATCTGTAGTAAATGTAATCAAATTATAACCTTAGAACTGTTATGACGGCAAATAATTGGCTTACATTTTTTGTTAGATCTCATTCAATTTTTGATAAATTTTTATGAAATTTTGGAAAACAATATAATAAACCTATTTCCAACAAATTTTTAGAAACTTTCATTTTTTCAAAAAGAAAATTGGTTTCGCGGATTGTTTTTTCAATGGCCTAAAAATATTTTTTAATTTTTTATCACATTTTATTTTATTTCTGCCCAAAATCCGAAGAAAATAAAATTTTTAAAAATTTCGATAATCCCTGTTTTTTTTACTCACCCTGTATAAGACTTGGTATAAGGTTCTAAGTTGTAAACTTGTCTCTCCGTCTGTATCAAGAACAATGATACAGCGCTGCCATTGGTGGGATCTCTGGTCACGTGATTCTGACGTTATAGTAATCATTACATCTATTAAAATGAAAAATTATTAAATCAAAAAATAAGAGGAGTAACCCTGAATTTTTCAGGCTCCTCTGGAATATCGTCGTTTTCACATTGGTTGCGTATTTGCTGAATATGATCTGTCTAAAACTTAGAATCTTATACCAAATCTTATTTACATCATACATCATGGTATAATTTTGACACAGTTTTATATCAATTTCACGAGACAGGAACATCAGATATAACTCTTATAGATCAACTCCGGAAGTTCTTAGGGTTTCAGCCTACACCCCATTTCATTTTTCCTTTACAGTCCCTTTAAATTCAAATATGTTCTTTTTTATTCTCACATTGTTAAGGTTATAACAGCTCAATCTGGAAAACAAAAAGACAGTGTTCTGAAAGGTAATTAATAAGAATATTGTAAGGGTATCTTTAACTAAACATTTCTGAGTACATTTTATTTTCTCCTCTCCGCTTATTATAGAATAAATAATCAAAGTTATTATGTTACAAATTATTAATGTACTCACAAAAGACGTTGAGAAAGTGATTTAAAACTAATTTTTTTACTATTCTGTAATCTACTTAAAGAATAAATTGGAATTTGTTAAGATACCTATAGATTTCTCGTGCCGAAGGTTAAATAATAAGTTAACAGAAATTAGAACTTTTGTGTGAATTTCGGGTTCAAGAATTGATCTCTATCTTTGCAGTCCTACGGATAATTAGATTATCGCGTTGTGGTCACACCCTGCGGGGATAAAAGACTTTTACTCTAAAATTTTAAAAGTCCAATTATTAACTATATTTCACGCAAAATTTCTGATCTTTTAATAAATATAATGTATAATAATTTTAAAGTTTATTAAGTAATCTAGGTGGTGATACGTTTATTAAGTAATCTAGGTGATGCTAAGTTTATAAATGAATCTAGGTGATACTAAGTTTATTAATAAATCTAGGTGATGCTAAGTTTATTAATAAATCTAGGTGATGCTAAGTTTATTTATAAATCTAGGTGATGCTAAGTTTATTAATAAATCTAGGTGATGCTAAGTTTATTAATAAATCTAGGTGATGCTAAGTTTATTAATAAATCTAGGTGATGCTAAGTTTATTAATAAATCTAGGTGATGCTAAGTTTATTAATAAATCTAGGTGATGCTAAGTTTATTAATAAATCTAGGTGATGCTAAGTTTATTAATAAATCTAGGTGATGCTAAGTTTATTAATAAATCTAGGTGATGCTAAGTTTATTAATAAATCTAGGTGATGCTAAGTTTATTAATAAATCTAGGTGATGCTAAGTTTATTAATAAATCTAGGTGATGCTAAGTTTATTAATAAATCTAGGTGATGCTAAGTTTATTAATAAATCTAGGTGATGCTAAGTTTATTAATAAATCTAGGTGATGCTAAGTTTATTAATAAATCTAGGTGATGCTAAGTTTATTAATAAATCTAGGTGATGCTAAGTTTATTAATAAATCTAGGTGATGCTAAGTTTATTAATAAATCTAGGTGATGCTAAGTTTATTAATAAATCTAGGTGATGCTAAGTTTATTAATAAATCTAGGTGATGCTAAGTTTATTAATAAATCTAGGTGATGCTAAGTTTATTAATAAATCTAGGTGATGCTAAGTTTATTAATAAATCTAGGTGATGCTAAGTTTATTAATAAATCTAGGTGATGCTAAGTTTATTAATAAATCTAGGTGATGCTAAGTTTATTAATAAATCTAGGTGATGCTAAGTTTATTAATAAATCTAGGTGATGCTAAGTTTATTAATAAATCTAGGTGATGCTAAGTTTATTAATAAATCTAGGTGATGCTAAGTTTATTAATAAATCTAGGTGATGCTAAGTTTATTAATGAATCTAGGTGATGCTAAGTTTATGTCATCTCTCCAAACCTTGAATATTGGAGATGAGATGCTAACTACGAGTCCACTCAAGAGAAAGAAGAGAATAGAATATTTAGCAGAAAAACTACACGGTCATAATACTTCCTTTCTAGGCAACCTTTCTCATATATTTGATTCTTTAAGACATGTAGTTCCTTTCTATAATATATGCTTCCTTTTTAGGCAACCTTTCTCATAAATTTGATTCTTTAAGACATGTTCCTTTCTATAATATTTTCTTCCTTTCTAGGCAACCTTTCTCATAAATTTGATTCTTTAAGACCTGTAGTTCCTTTCTCTGAAAAATTTTTCCTTTCTAGGCAATCTTTCACTTTTATTTGATTCTTTAAGACATTTAGTTCCTTTCCATAATATATGCTTCCTTTCTAGGCAACCTTTCTAATATACTTGATTCTTTAAGACATGTAGTTTCTTTCTATAATATATGCTTCCTTTCTAGGCAACCTTTCTCATAAATTTGATTCTTTAAGACATGTAGTTTCTTTCTGTAATATATGCTACCTTTCTAGGCAACTTTTCTCATATATTTGATTCTTTAAGACATGTAGTTTCTTTCTATGCTAAATGATTCCTTTCTAGTTAACCTTTCATAAATATATGCTTCCTTTCTAGGCAACCTTTCACATGCATATAGGTAATTTCTAGGCAGCCTCTTATATACATGAATAGTTTATTTCAGTTATTTCAAGGTGTAATTTTATTTTCTTCCTAGACTAAATACTTTCTATGTTACAATCACTTCTTTGAGTAGAAATCAAAAATCCTCTTCTTGGAATTATTTATTTTTCACATTTTATTTTTACATGTTTATAAATAATAGAAAGAATGAAAGATTTTTGTATTATTATTAAGTAAGATGTTAGTCTGAGGTTTCTTTATAAGCAAAAATTTTGGATCAGCGATAAATATTTTTTGAGATAGGTCAAAGAAGAAATTAGCGGCGTCAAACCTTATAGAAATCCAACGAATGGACCCGCTACGTATAGCAACATGGCGTATTTTCCGGGAGAACATTTTTTTTATATTTTTGAAAAATTAAACGTTTTTGTAAAATATTGTAGCTTATCATTATCATTATCATAATTTCTATTTTTTTAACATAACCTAGACATTAAAGGAGCAAAATAGTTTAATACGTACATTTTAGGTTTGGAAAAAATTCTTAAAAGTATAAAAAAAAGTTCTCCAGTAATGCTAATATGATTTCATAAAATTTCGTTTTACCATTTATATAAAAGGATTTTATGAAAATTATATTTACTTTACACTGATAATTTAATTTTTCAAAAACATAAAAAATAATCTCCCGGAAAATACGCCATGTTGCTATACGTAGCGGGTCCATACGTTGGATTTCTATAAGGTTTGACGCCGAAATTAGCAGTTAAAAAAATAAAAGAAAGCTATGGAACCTTCATAGTCCGGACGAACTTTGCCCAGTCGGCAAAAATCATTCTTAACATTTCTTTGGGAAATCAATCGGTACATTTCACAGTCCGCCTTCTTCAAAAATATTTGATCCATCCCATCTTGGCAAACAAAATTTTCGACATATACTCAAAGAAGAAGGGGTTGTAACAAAAAAGTAAGCCTAGAAAGAAAAATTTACAACAAGAAATTACTGTAATTTAGAGATTTCCAATGACACCTTGATTGTGAAAATTCAATGAAAATTGTTCCAACAGTTCCCTACTGCAGTGTTTTTTTTTGTGGAACACCCTGTATAGTTCATTTCTATGCAACCTTTCATATATATAGTTCATTTCTATGCAATTTTTATATATACAGTTCATTTCTATGCAATCTTTCATATATCTAGTTCATTTCTATGCAACCTTTCATAAATATAGTTAATTTCTATCCAACCTTTTATATATATAGTTCATTTCTATGCAACCTTTTATATATATAGTTCATTTCTATGCAACCTTTTATATATATAGTTCTTTTCTATGCAATTTTTTATATATATATGGTTCATTTCTATGCAACCTTTCATATATCTAGTTCATTTCTATGCAACCTTTCATATATCTAGTTCATTTCTATGCAACCTTTCATATATATAGTTAATTTCTATGCAACCTTTTATATATATATAGTTAATTTCTATGCAACCTTTCATATATATAGTTAATTTCTATGCAACCTTTCTAAGAAACCTTTCATTAGATTGCTTTCTTCATTTTCTAAGAAGTTTTTTAACTTTTAAAAATTTCTTGACTTTTGATAAAACCAATGATTTGCGAATATTTAAAGATTTATTTCAGTCTGAAAGAATATGCAATAGAATTATGCTTTAACTTGGTTTTAAAGTTTGCAGCATGGCAAAACTGCAAAGATGTCTGAAATTTTTTTTCTTCAAAATTAGCCAAAATATAATTGAAAGATGTACGAATAAGAAGAAAATGAAGAACAAGAAATATAGAAAAGTCTAAATATTTACATCTAATATCGTATAACTATTTAAAGAATATTGGAAAAAAATTAAAATTTAAAAATAAAAATGTAAAAAAAAGATGGAAAAGTTGTTTTAGGAAATATTACGAATCCCGAGGATAAACCAAGATTTAGCCAACAATCTTTTTATGTCAGGAAATTTTTTTATTTCTTTAAAAAATATTTTTATAATATAATTATAATAGATTATCTTCCAGCCGATTGAAATCGTGTTTGTTTACCGTTCTTCAATTATAAATTGTTTTACACATAACTTAGATTAAACAAGAAAATTAATTTTTTGTAAATAAAAATTTACTGGAGTAGACCAACTTCAGAAGAAATTGAGGTTTCAGCATTAAAAAAACAAGAACTGGAGGCTAACAAGGAAACAACATTAAAATTCCTCAAAAAATTTGAAAAAGTAAAATTAGGAAGGTTTTTGTAAATTTTTTGCAAAGAATTTAATAGTGTTGATAAAAACCCAGGGATCCTCTGAGGGTTTAAACTCCAAGTTTGGTTCCGAGCAGTCCCTAGAGACTGGAGAAAAGAGGGATAAGACGGGACGGAGAAAATCAGTTTTCAGGAAAATAAACGAGGATTGGAATACGTTTTTGAAAGAGATAGGGAGTGCTTCAACCATGAATGCAGTGGAAAACCAGCTTTAGTTGCAGTTATCTTTTACTATAGTATTAAACCATATCAACTGCAGTATAGAACCTGCTCTAACTGCAGTATAGAACCTGCTCTAACTGCAGTATAGAACCTGCTCTAACTGCATGCAGTATAGAACCTGCTCTAACTGCAGTATAGAACCTGCTCTAACTGCAGTATAGAACCTGCTCTAACTACATGCAGTATCGAACCTGCTCTAATTGCGTGCAGTATGGAACCTGCTCTAACTGCATGCAGTATAGAACCTGCTCTAACTGCATGCAGTATAGAACCTGCTCTATCTGCATGCAGTATAGAACCTGCTCTAACTGCATGCAGAATAGAGCCTACTCTAACTGCAGTATAGAACCTGCTCTAATTGCATGCAGTATAGAACATGCTCTAACTGCATGCAGTATAGAACTTGCTTTAACTGCATGCAGTATAGAACCTGCTCTAACTGCATGCAGCATAGAACCTGCTATAACTGCAGTATAGAACATGCTCTAACTGCATGCAGTATAGAACTTGCTTTAACTGCATGCAGTATAGAACCTGCTCTAACTGCATAGAACCTGCTATAACTGCAGTACTCCTTTAAGGCAGTAAATTTAGAACAATTCATTTAAATACAAATAACGATTTTAAAAGAAAATAGGTCGTTTTAAATTTGTAGAAGATGATTAATTTTGTTTTATTTGGATATTTTTAGAAGGTTTAAAAAAATTATTAGTTTTTCCAAAATTAAAATGTAAAAAAGAAAATGCCAAACATTTGTTAATAATATTGTAACTCGAGAACTATAGAAATAAGGTAAATAAACTTTAAATTATTCCTTGTTCGGTTTTGTTTTTTTCTAAGTTGTCATAATTTCCTATTACTTTTCACAAGAAATATTCTCTTATTCAGTAATACTGATATCAATTCACACAAATAAAAAAACAGAAAACTCAATTTTATGTATTTTTTACGGTGATTTAGACGTCCTCGTTTAGGCGAGAACTTGTTAATGCTAGTAATCCATTCAAGAAATCTAGCTAATTCATTACTTTTTATTTGCTGAGTAAAGTTTGGAATTGTACGACTATCATTTATTAAAACATCCGTTAAAAATCTTAAGCAAAACAAATAAAAAACATCAAAAACAGAATACAATGCTGCTTTAGTTCGAAAAAAAATTGCGTAACAAACCAATGTGTAATAGAAGTTGTTTTGATTATCCTCATTATAACTGACAAAAGATGATTTTAGTCGGTGGCGGCAAAGCTTGCAAAGTTTAAATTTTTGTATCTATGATTTAAAATAATATTTGTTGTTGATGTAAATGCTAATTGATAACGTCTAGAAAAACATTGATGAAAAAGCTGAGAACGCGAAATATTGGCGTGTGATTACACCGTGTGAAGTACATATATTAAATGTCCGGTCGGAGACACTAGACAGCGCCTGGCCTCCGGTCAGTTCTCTGACCCACATAATAAAACAGTGGGCCTGAATTCTGTAACCCATTAGTTACACTAGTTCTAAATATCTCCGCTAGGTGGGAATTAGCGACGGTTCGGCCTAGCGCAATCACCTGTGTGTGTGTACCCACACACTTGGTCACCTTGCAAACATAAGAAATTATAGACATTTTGCAAATGTCCAACTTTTGTATTAAAAACAACTGGATCGAGAAATGAAACGTTTCAAACTTCCTAAAATTATCTTAATTGACATTTTTATCTAATTTTGATGTTTTTTGTATCAGCAGCACATATATATACGTATATGCAATGCAGGAAGAGATGAAGGGAGAGAGAGAGAGCAAGGTGGGAATGATAGATAGATAGAGAGATACAGGGAGATGAAGGCACTATAACCTGTTTGCAGTCAGGCAGAGTTAACATGGCGCATGGACATTCTCAGGAATAATGTGATTTTATAAATTCAACTCTCAAATTTCTAAGAAAAGATTGAATAAACTGTATAGAGGTTAGTTTGATCAACTCGATTAAATCCGAAATTCTGATTGCAACTTTTGATAAAGAACTCTTTATCATTTTTTTTATAAAAGCATGTGTTCTTCTTAAACTAATCGTTAATAATATTTATATGGTCTGCTCTAGCGTTAACTGTTATATGTTCAGACACAACAATTGCTGATTATCAGGAATAATAATTAATAATAATTATAAATATGTCTAAGATTTGAATAATAATGATATATTTCTAAACATATAACTTCTCTACTTTATAGCTATTATTCTTCTCCTTCCTCTTCACTTTTCATTGTTATATCCTTCTCCACTTTATAGCCTTTCTTATTCTCCCTCCCCTTCCCTTTCATTGTGACATCCTTCTCTACTTTATAGCCATTTCTTTCTCCTTCCCCTTCCCTTTCATATTGTTATATCCTTCTCTAGTTTATAGCCATTCCTTTCTCCTTCCCCTTCCTTTTCATGGTTATATCCTTCTCTACTTTATAGCCATTCCTTTCTCCTTCCCCTTCCCTTTCATGGTTATATCCTTCTCTACTTTATAGCCATTCCTTTCTCCTTCCCCTTCACTTTCATGGATATATCCTTCTCTACTTTATAGCAATTCCTTTCTCCTTCCCCTTCCCTTTCATCGTTATTTTTTATTCCCTTTCTTTTCGTCTTCTTTCCTTTTCCATCCTTTCCTTTCCCTTTTTAATGCAATTTTTTTACTTCCATTCTCCTCTCCGGCTTGTTTTATTTAAAGTACACATCCTCCCCTCTCCTTCCCTCAGATAATAGCCGGCCCACCATTCCTTTATTCTTAATTTTTTTTATTATTTGACCATTTTTTTGTTTAAAGTTTTCGATACAGATATATTCTGATGTGATAAATTAAAAATACGTAATTTTACATTTAGTCCTTAATCTGCTTTTTCTAATCTTTTAAGCGATAAAAATTTATTTTTAACTTTAAGCAATTCTTGACAATATTTTCTTTAGATTAAATTCATTTAATAACATAAATTAAATATTTTATAACATGCATTTTGCCAATTTATTTCATTTAATGCTATAATTGACATTTATAGAAAAGCTTCAAGATTTTTTCATTTTTAAAAATAATTTCTATTTCTGTAAAATGTAAAGATTTAATCTCCATCGTGTTCAATTAATTGGGTTTACCACTTGTGTTATACTCGTTATACTCACAAAACATATTTCTAATTTCAGTTTGAAAATTAGTTTTTAACATGCGCTTCATCCATACTAGAAATAGGATTATGGAAAAAATGATTTCTTTTAACAATTTACAAACTAAAATTAACCTAAAATCAAAAAAGATAATTTTTTGTTTGATTTCAAATGTTTTTGTTTAGTTTTGTTTTTATTAAAAAAGGAATAATAATTTTTTTGTACTTTTGGTCCCTTTTTAACCCCCCTTGCCTATTCTTTTCTTTTTGAATCAATGTCTTGACACGTAATTCTATTTTGGGAAAAATACTCGCTCCAATTGGTCTAGTTCTACTCCAGTTCTACTCTAGTTCTACTCCAGTTCTACTCCAGTTCTCGCAATACAAATATTTAAGTTTCAACACGCCGTTATCATCTGTAACAGAGCCAAAAACAAACAACAACGTAAATCTAAAGCTGGCGGACATTTTGTTTAACAAACTTGATATTCAAGATGAAATATTAAGTCGAGATAAATCTATATATAAATTTGGCCTGTCTGTTTGTCTGTTTGTTTGTTTGTCTGTTTGTATCCAATAAACGTCAAAACGGCTGAACCGATCGGGCCCAAATTTTTTGTGGGACATCTAGGGACCCCAGGGAAGGTTTATGAATGATTGAAATTTTAAAAATTTGTGTTTTAAAGGTTTTTAATTTTGTAAAAAAAATTAAATTTTTGAAAATCCGTGAATTTATTTTTTTAAATCCGCAAAAATTTTTTCATCGTTGTCTTGAAATGTAAACAAAAAGAACATGTTCAAAATTAAAATAGAAGATGGGCGCGAAGCGTCCTAAAAGCCTAGAAAGAAGAGCGCGAAGCGCCTTGAATTTCTAGTTCTTATAAATTACTCCTGTAAAGGAATTGAGTTTTTGTCAGAAATTCAAATTTTCTAATCCATATATCTTTGCAACCTGACGGTGTAAAACTTTGATATTTCAAACTTAAATTATTTGATCTAACAGAATTTGAAATATATAAGGTATACGATATTAGGTTGACAAGATAATCTTCCTCGGGTTTCAAGACCCTTAAGCTTGCCCTTTTCTAGCTACAGTTTTAGCTTTAAACTGTTGATTTTCAAGTCTCCATTTTTCATCGAACTCAAATAAACTAAAACTTTCGCGGTTTTTTTGTTATACTAAGTTGATTTTCAAAAATCGTAAAAGTAGACTTTTTTAAATTTTGACCTGTCATAAACCTTCCCTGGGGTCAAGTGAGTTGCCACAAAAACTGGCCCCGATCGTTTCAGTAGTTGTTTAGTGGATGCAAACATATATATCAAAGATTAAATTGGTGAGTTTTAGTAATTGGTTGGGTTGGGAATATGTATAAGTGAGATTGATACTAGATAAATAAATAGGAGACAAGAGGTAATTAGAAAGATTAGAATAACACTAATAAAATAAAGGAAACGGTGGAATTTGCAAAGTTGAGAAGAAAGTTCAAGATTTGGAGGGTTTTAGAAAATTCAAGAAGGAGGGTTTAAGAAAGGTTTGAGAATAGGAAGGTTTAGAGAATTGGATGGAGAGTTGGAAAGTATGGAAGAAGGTTGGAGAAAAGAAAGGGTTTGAGAAAGGTTGGTTTGAGGAAGGTTTTAAGGAAGGTTGGAAAATAGAAAGGTTTTGATGAATGTTGAACACTAGGAAGGTTTGGAGAAAGGTTGGAAAATAGAAAGGTTAGGAGGAAGGTTTGACAATAGGGAGGTTTGGAGAAAGGCTGGAGAATAGAACGGTTAGGAGGAATATTGGACAATAGGTAAGTTTGGAGGAAGGTTGGACAATAGGTAAGTTTGCAGGAAGGTTGGGGAATAGAAAGGTTTGGAGGAAGGTTGGACAATAGAAAGGTTTGGAGGATGGTTGGACAATAGAAAGGTTTGGAGGAAGGTTGGACAATAGAAAGGTTTGAAGGAAGGTTGGAGTTTAAAGGTTTAGGGTTGAAACGGATGTAAGGAAGGGTGGTTGGTTTGAAATCAATATTGCAAACCTATGATTTTATAAAGAGGAGACAGGATGTAAAAGGGTGTAGTGTGGGGGGGGTGGAAGGGGTGAAGGGAGAAAGAGGAGGGGAAAGACGGGCAGGTCAAACGTGATGGGAAGAATGCAATACGTGGTTGCATGAAGACCCAGGACTGTATAGGGGGACATACATTAAATGTCCGG